TGGGACAACAGTGACACCGGTCAGGCAAAACATCTATTGAATATGATGTGGTCTATTTCATTGTGGAATTGTCCACCGGGAGACTCTCATGTCCACCATTTAGATTCGGCCTTCTGGAACTTTGAGTTACCATGAATTGTCTTGGTCGACATGATGAACTCAGACAGTCTCTCACCCTGTTTGTTCCATTCTAGGCCATGAGTCCCAATGTGGAGTTCTTCGGCTGATCTTCTTGGTCCTATGTTGGCATTAAAATCACCCACAATGATCTTGTAGAAGGTGTGGTCTTTTTTATATAACTTCTCCAGCTCCATGTAGAACTTCTCAATTTCTCCTTCAACATAATTGGATGTTAGTGCGTAGACAACGAAGATAGAAACTGCCAGCAGTGAGCCACACCTATTCAAATGTAAACGTCCGATTTGGGTTGTTAGGCATTCGAATGAATCAATGCTCATGGCCAAGTTCATGTTGACAAGGACACCGATGCCTCCGACACCTTTTTATCGCATGTTTCGAGGAACAATTCTTCTCCAGTGTCGAAAACGGCATGATGAGATTGGTGCCTTCTTGTCTCAGTCAGACCAATGATGTCGTACTTGATCTTTCGCACTTGTACCATCAGGTCCTCGATGGATGCATCTGATGCTAGTGTACCTGCATTCCTTCCGAAATCTGACACGCCATTCCGTCAGTAAAGAAACGAACAACACCCGGCCCAGACAAGGTCAGACCTGACCACCTGAAGAACCTGCCGTCAGTACTCATCAATACGCTGGCTCGGCTTTTCACACGCTACCTGTCTGAATGCAAGATTCCGTCCCAATGGAAAACCAGCAGGACTGTACTACAATACAAGAAGGGAGACATCCACGACATTGGCAACTATTGCCCGATCTGCTTATTGTCTGTCATCTACAAGTTGTTCACTCGAGTCATCCTGAATAGGATTAGCAGAACACTAGATGAAGGATAACCATGCGAGCAAGCCGGGTTCCGCAAAGGATTCAGCACCATCAACCATATCCACACGATAACCAAGCTCATTGAGGTTTCTCGGGAGTTTAAGATGCCGCTCTGTCTAACATTCATTGATTTAAAGAAGGCCTTTGATTCTGTTGAGACGGAAGTGGTCATTGAAGCCCTAGCCAATCAGGGCATTCAAACTCAATACATCAGGATCCTCCGTGAGCTGTATTACTGATTCACTACCAGGATCTCACCGTTCTGCAAAGAAGTAATCATTGATGTCAAGAGAGGGGTTTGGCAGGGTGATACCATTTCACCGAAACTCTTCAGTGCCACCCTCGAGAACATCAAGCGATGACTGAAATGGGAAGGAATGGGAGTGAAGATAGATGGTCGGCAACTACACCACCTTTGCTTTGCTGATGACATTGTTTTTTTTTTTTTTTGAAAAAAAAAAAGAAAAGGCTTTATTGTCTCTTATTTGCAGTATCATTGCATCACTGTCATCCTGTTGGTCATCGAATTCCTCGAGCAGGCACCAGTAACGTCTCCTTCGTCCTAGCCCTGAGATTTTATTTATTTTTTTTGTTGTTGTTCTTTTTTTTTTTTTTATTTATTTATTGAATCACTGTGGGAAAGGTTACAAAGCTTTCAGGTTTATGTCTCAGTAATGCAAATATCAAACACATTTCCCTTTACCAATACTTATTTTTTACCATGAAGAACCCCAATAAAACCCCACCCCCCACCCCTCCCCGTCCCTGTGAGGCAGATGAATTCTAGTTAACACTCTATCTGCTTTGATTAGATTCATTGTTTCAATAAAAGATTCACCACTATTATTTAGAGTTTACCCCCCCCCCCCCAAATCAGACATGCTGAAAAAGCATTGTGAAGTGATTTGCTTTCTACAGCTGGGTTAAAGAATTAAATGTTGGTTTTGGATTTCTGCTATTTTACCTATTGACCCTGGAAGTATTTCTCCTGTAAGTCAGATAGTTAAGAAACTGGTTTCTGTGTTCTGGAGGATGACATTGTTTTAATAACACCAAATATTAGCCAAGCGGCACAAATGCTGGCCGACTTCGACTGTGAGTGTGGAAAGGTCGGACTACAGCTGAATCTTACGAAGACAATGTTTATAAGAAACAGCCTCGATTCTGACGCTCCATTTGCTCTCAACAGAACGACCATCTCCGAATGCAACAGTTATGTGTACCTAGGTCGAGAAGTCAACAGGACAAATGACCTGGCACCTGAGCTGCGCAGGAGGAAGAGAGCGGCTTAGAATGCCTTCAAGAGTGTCGAAGAAATAGCTAAGAGGACGAAGAACCTCTGGCTCTGGGCACATCTCTTTGATTCCACTGTTCTTACTACATTAGCATATGCCTCAGAGACCTGGGCCCTACGAAAATAGGATGAGAATGCTTTTTGGTTCTCCCAAAGAGGAATTGAAAGAGCTATGCTTGGAGTATCATGTTTCACTCAAATGAGTGAAAGAATCCGGAGTTTCGACCTCCATCAACGATCAAGAATCAGGGACGCTGTCTCGTTTGCCAAGGCGTCAAAAATCAGATGGGCTGGTCACGTAATGAGATTTAGAGATGACCACTGGACTAGAGCTGTTACCAACTGGATTCCATGGGATGTCAAAAGAACGCGTGGCCGCCCACCTACCAGATGGTCAGACTTCTTCATCAAGATCATGAACGATTGGTTTCAGGCTCTTCGTGTTCCTAGAATGAACAGACGCCATTGGGCTACACTAGCACGCGACAGGGACAAATGGAGACGTTACTGGCGCCCACTCGAGCAAATCGACGATTAACGGGAAGTCAAGTGATCAAGTGATCAATATTTTATAGGATGAATAACTATAACCCCTATACCTTAACCCCTATACCATCTCTTTTGCCTCAAGTTTACTTCTAAATAATATTTTATAGGATGAATGACTATAGTTAAACAATCACTTTGAAGTGAACATTTTGTTGCCTATCTATTAGGAAAATACCTAGAGATTTTATAAAAATGAAGCAAAAAACTTTTAAAATTTAAGTAGGCACTCCCAAGTTGAATTCCAAAGAGATGATACTAATTTATAATCTCTGCCAACAGTATTAGAGAATTATGTAAATGCTCAACATTGGATGTTATCAACTGGTTCAGTCTTTACCAATTTATAAGTGAGATGTTCTCTTTCATTGACGTTTAATTTCCATTGAGTTCATTGCAAGTGATATTCGTGTTTGTGAGAAAATGGGGAAATTGAGCCCAATGTCTAATACATTCAAAACATGCAGTGCTGGCTGGGAGACAGCACAGTGCGCAGGGCACTTGACAGAACCAGGCAGAATCCCTGGCACACATATGGTTTCCTGAGACTGCCCAGTGTAAACCCTGAGCATAGAGCTGGGTATAAGCCCAGAGCACTGCTGAGTGTGACCACAGAAGGAAAAAAAAATGGAGGGGAGGCCAGAGAGATAGTACAGTGAGTAGGGCACTTGCCTTGCATATGGCTCACCTGGGTTCAATCCCCGGAATTCCATTCCCCAGCTGGGAATTAGTCCCCCAGCACTGCAAAAAATAATTCCTGAGTGCAGAGCCAGTAGTTACCCTTGAGCATCACTGGGTGTGGCCCCCAAACAAACAAACAAATAAATAAAGTACTAAATTTGCGCTCACATTCAGGACACAGCACTACATGCTTCTCAGGAGCTTGGTGAGGAGAAACCACTGAGAGCCACTCCCAACGGGTGTGGCCCAAATGCAGTTTTGGGGAACACAACCAGTTGTGTTCAGGGTTTACTTCTAGCTCTGGGCTCAAGGATCACTCTGGCTGGCTACAGAACCCTACAGGTTCTGGGGATCAAATCCAGGTGTTCTGTGTGCAAGACAAGCCCCTTTACCTGCTGTACTATCTCCCCAGCCCCAATATTTTCCTTTTTGTCTTCTGATTTTCGTGTCATGTTTAGAGAGACCTTCTCAACTCCAAGTTTATAAAAAATACCACTCATACTTTCATCTAGTATTTAATCATTGTATTTTGTATGCTTAAATTGGTGGTTAACTTGGAACTTCTTTTGGTGTAAACATAACAGTTAGCTCACCTGGTTGGAAAAACGATTCAGGGGTTAAAGCCTTGCATACAACCCACCTGGGTTTGACCCTAGCACTGAATGTGCTCCAGTGAACATTCCCAGGGGGCACCCTTGCGTGAATAGCCCCTGAACACCCCTGAACACCGTATGATGTGGCCCGCAAAACACAAAAAGCAAACTCACAAACCTACAGAACTCTGACCTCACTCATCACTTTGAAATCCAAGTTTATTTACATACTAAATCCCACTGTATTCTCTATTGGCTTTTGTTCTCAGTTTTTGAGTCATATCCAGCAGTCTTGGGAGGTGGGGAAGGGTCACTGTTGGAAGTACTTGGGACATAATAAGGTGCTAGGGATGGAACCAGGTATCCTTCCAGTGAGAAAGTCCTTGGAGTCATCTCTCCAACCTCTACTTGGGTCTTTTTGTTGATTTGCTCGCTTTTGAGTCACAGTCAGAAGGATCTCAGAGCTTACTCCAGGCTCTGCACTCAGGGATCATTCCTGGCGGTGCTTAGGGAACTATATGGGGTTCAGGGATAGAACCTGGGTTGGTCATCCACGGGCAAGGCTATCTATCCCCCATCCTCTGTTACTAGCACCCTGGCCCCTGCTCTGGAGGGTGTTTGAATTAAAGGCCTTCCAGGCGGGACATTTGAAACTTGATACTGCAGGAAAGACTCAAGTCATTCAGCAGAGAACAATCTGGAGAAAAGTCAGAAGAGCTGAATTAGAGAACAGCGGAGTCCCATTCTCTCACCTGGGCCTTTCTCCTCCCCCCGGGAATCTTGCTTGGCACAACCTCCGCAGCCCGCCGCGTTTCTCGGCTCAGCCTCTGGGGGTCGCTGCCGGGACAGTGAAGCCGAAGACTCAGGGGGCTCGCCCGAACTGCGGGAGCCGTCGTGACGTCACTTCCGATCAGGGCGGAAGTCCTCCGTTGGCGGACCGGGAAGTATCTGGCGACTGGGAGATGGCAGTTCTGGAGGCCTTGGTCCCAGGCCGACCCGAGGCCGCGGCGCCCCCGCGGTAGACAGGAGCAGGAAGGGGGCTCCGGATCCCGACGTGAAGCGTTTCGGGGGTTGAACCGGGGCCTCAGTAGGGACCCCAACGGGCCCTGTTGGCTCCGCTCCCTGCCGGGGCTGTAAGCTGCCCTGGCCCGGGCTGCCCCACAAGCCGGCTTGCCGGGTACGGTGCCACTCCTGGAGGAACGGCGAGGGTGGGGACCCCCCTCCTCGATCCCGGCGTGGCAGGTGAGAGCCCCGGACCGGGGGTTCGCCCTCACCCCGTCTCCTCTCCACCGCCACAGGGATGGAGGGCTCCAAGACGTCCAGCAGCACCATGCAGGTGAGCTTCGTGTGTCAGCGCTGCAGCCAACCCCTGAAACTGGACACAAGCTTCAAGATCCTGGACCGTGTCACCATCCAGGAGCTCACAGGTCAGCGAGACTCTTGGAAAGGGGCGGTCCAGATCATGACAAGGAGGCCGTTGCTGAGGTGAACGTCGGAAGTGGAGGGTGGGTGGCGTTGGTGTTCTGGTTGTTGACCGTATTCTCCGCGTGTGAGCACGGCAAAGTGGCTGCATCTCTGTGGCGCCCCGTTTTCCCGTCAAGAACAAGGAGTCCTGATACCGTGAACTACTGAGTTTTCTCCAGCCCAAGAAAGATCCTGAGTTTTCTATTACTGCTGTTTTGGAGTGATAAATAGTTGGTGCAACACATCATTTGTCGAGGATTTCTCATAGACCAAGGGCCTCTCGTGCGTTGCTTCGTTTGGTCCGCGATACCTATGGAGTAGTACAAACATAATCGTCATAGCATAAACGAGACATCGAGGGTCAGAGAGGTTAAGGAGGCTGGTAAGGAGGAAAAGAATCTCAAAAATCCCAAGAAGTGAAATGAGGTTAGATATAAGAAAAGTCAGGGGCCAGGGAGATAGTTTAGAAGGGTCCACTGTGTTTTGCATGAGGAAGTCTGGTTCCATCCCTGGCACCACTTGTTCACCCAAGATTGTAAGAGGATAATCCCTGAGTCCGGCACTAGGAGTAGCACCTGTGTGCCTCCCCGCCCCATCCTCCCCCCCCCTCCTTGAAAAAGTAAGGAAAGACTGAAAAGGCAGTTTATTTGTTTTGAGATCACTCCTGGCAGGACTTTGGGCTTACTCCTGGTTCTGTGCTCAGGAATCATTCCTGGCAAGTCTCAGGGCCATGTAAAGTGTTGGGGGCTGGGGCGGAGGGTGGGTTCCAACCCTCAGTTGGTGGTGCATAAGGCAAGTGCCCTGTGCACTGTACTATTTATAGGACCTCTGATAAAAGCAACTTTCGGGGTTTTACTTTTTAACTTTTTTAGTCATATTTGGTGGTGCTCAGGACTTACTCCTGACTCTGTGCTCAGGGTTTGCTCCTGGCTCTGAGCTCCTGGATCACTCCTGGCTGGTTTGGAGGACCATATGAGATGCCGGGGGTGGAACCTGGGTTGGGTGCATGCAAGACAAGAGCTCTACCGGTTGTACTATCACTCCAGCCCCTGAAAAGGCAATTTAAAATGAAAATAAACTCATGGTCTGGAATCAGCCTGCTTGGATTTAAATCTTGGCTGTCATTTACTAGCTGAGTGACTTTTAGCTTATTTCACCTTGCTAAGCCTTGGTTTCTTAGTTTCTTTGTTTTGTTTTGTATTTTGGTGTGACCCCACCCAGAGATGCTCAGGGGTTACTACTGATTCTGCACTCAGAAATTATTCCTGGTGGTGCAGGGGACCATATGGGATATTGGGAATTCAATCCTGGTCAGCTGCATGCAAGGCAAGCACCCTCCCCACTATGCTACACTCCAGCCCCTTCTTTGTTTCTTTTTAAAACATTAAATTATCTGGGGCCAGGGAGGTAGTCTAGGAGTTAGGGCTCATACAAGGAATTGACCCCCAAATCTTTGGCCTTCCAAGCATCGCCAGTATAACCCTGAAGGCCTCAAACATGGCCAGGTGGTGCTCTGGGAGTTCCCACACTCCGCCAGGGAGACCAGTGGTCCCCAACACTAAAGAGCTCAAGTAGTACCACCTCCTTGGGCTCTATCACTGTACTGCCAGCCTGGTTAACGGAGTATCTGGGAGTGGCCCCTGGGCACTGTGAGCTGAGTCACACTGGGAGTGGCCCCAGAGCACTGTTTCTGACTGCGTTCTCCTTGTCTTTAGCTCCATTAATTGCCACAGCCCAGGTGAAACCAGGAGAGACCCAGGAAGAAGAGGCCAACTCAGGAGAGGTATGAAGCATGTTGCATTTCTGCAGGATCCTTGGTATCCCTAGAGCCCCCATGTATTCAGAATCTATAAGAAATGAGAGATATTTTATTGATCAGGACACTGTGGGTCATTGGAGATACAGGATACGCTTGTGGTCACAGGGTTACTAAGAGACGTTTGTTCCAAAATCTGGGAAGATGCTCTTCATTATTTAAAGTGGAATTGTAAGTCCTTAGGAGTGGGAGATGGAATGACTTGTGTGTCCAAGCAACTCACAGCATTCCTCGGTTCTCCTTCCTAATTATCAGTATTCATTCTTCTCTGTTCTTGATAGTATCTTGAAAACCAAGGGATGTGGCTCAGTAGGAAAGTGCGTAAATTGCGTGCATAAGACTTAAGTTTGAGGAGACGGAGTGATAGTACAGCGGGTAGGGTGTTTTCCTTGCATGAGGCTGACCTGGGTTCAATCCCCAGCATCCCATATGGTTCCCCAAGCACCACCAGGAGTAATTTCTGAGTGCAGAGCCAGGAGTAACCATTGAGCATCACTGGATGTGACCCCAAAAAAGGGGGGGGGGACCAGTTTGATCTCCTGCATTGCAAGAAAAAACAAAGTTGTAGATAGTTGATTGATGGAATGATTAATTTTTTTGTTTGGTTTTGGTTATGGTTTTGTTTTCTTGGGTTTTTTTTTTTTTCAGTTTTTGTTTTAGGGCCATAGCTAGTGATTTTATTTATTTTGGAAAGTGGTTTTGGGTCATATCTGGCAATGCATGGGGGTTACTCCTGGCAGTGCTCAGGGGACCATATGGGATGCCAGAGATTGAAACCAGGCCAGCTGTATACAAGGCAAATGCCCTACCTGCTGTATTAGCTCTTCAGCCCCCTAGTGGTTTTCTAAAGCTCTTCCTAACTGGTGCTTGGGAGCTGTCCAGTGCCAGGGATCAGACTAAGGGTTTCTTCATGAGACTGTGCTCATCTGTCCTCATAGCCGGTCCCAGTTCCTAGGATCATCAGACATCCCCCTAGTCTGAAAGAATGAGTAGTATTAGAGAGTGTGTCTTTTTAATTTTGGAGAATGTAATTTAATTTTTTAATTATTAAATAGTACACTTAGACTGTGTCACATTTTTATTTCTTGGATCATACCCAATCTCCCTCAGAAGCTACTCCCTGCTTGGTGCTCGAGGGTTCATATAGTGCCAGGGATTGAACCTGGGCCTCCGGCATGCAAAATGTATACCCCAGCCTGGTGAGCATCTCCCAAAGCCACAGAATATGTCTTTCTGGGGAGGGGACAGTAGGGCTACAACCAGCAATGGTCAAGGGGCTGTTCCCGCCCTGCTCAGGAGTGATCCCTGGCTGTGCTCAGGGTGCCTGATGTGGTGCCAGGGATTGAACTGGAGCCAGCTGCATCAAGGAAAGCAAATACTTTATGTCCCATACTACCTCTCTGACCCTGAATATGTCATTTTATTTGTTTTCTTCTGATTTTGTGGGGGCAGGGAGGAGTACATATCCAGTGGTGGTCAGGGCTTAACTTCTGACTCTCTGTTCAAAGACCACTCTTGGTGGGCTTGGGGGACCATTTATGGTGTTGGGGTTTCAACCCGGATCAGCCACATGCAAGGCAAGTGTCCTGTCTACTGTACTATCACTCCAGGCCCTATGTCATTTTACTTTATTAATTTTAAAATTTTCTTTGGGAGCCAGAGTGATAGTACAGCAGGTAGGGTGCTTGCCTTGTACCTTACTGGCCAGGGTTTGATTCCTGTACCTCATATGGTCTCCCCTGAGCTCTCCAGGAATGATCCCTGAGCAGAGAATCAGTAATAAACCCTGAGCACCACTGGGTGTGGCCCAAACACATGCACACGCACGCACACACACACACATACACAATTTTCCTGGTTTGGGGGTCACACTTGATGGTGCTCAGAGCTTACTTCTCACTCTGTGCTTAGGGATCACTCCTGGCCAGACTTAGGGAACCATATATAAAACCTGGGTCAGGCACTTCCTGGACCATACATAAAACCAGAGATAAAACCTGGGTCAGGCACTTGCAATGCAGACTGGGCAGGGCACACACCCAGCAGGGCAGTGCTCAGGGGACCACATGCAGTGACTGCCTTACCCACTGTACTATCTCGCCAACCCACAAAACTGTCATATCTCTGGCAAATTTTCTTTGCAAGATAGAGGTTACATGTTTTGATTACATGGTTCTATACGTGTAGCATAGTAAAAGTAAAGTAAAGGCCCTCCCGTTGATCGTCGATTTGCTCGAGCGGGCCCAGTAACGTCTCCATTGGAGACTTTGTTGTTACTGTGTCTGGCATATCGAATACTCTCGGTAGCTTGCCGGGCTCTCCGAGAGGGGCGGAGGAATCGAACTCGGGTCGGCCATGTTGGCCGCTTGTAAGGCGAACGCCCTACCCGCTGTAGCATAGTATTGAAAATTTAAATAACCAACTTTATTTTAATGTTGTGACAAACTTCATTGTGGGCTGATCTGACACTTCCCTTGTGTATGATGTTTTGTTTTGTTTTTGTCTTTGTTTTGGGGCTACACCTGGTGATCAGGGTTTACTCTGGGCTCTGTGCTCAGGAATTATTCCTGGCGGTATTTGAGGAACCATATGGAATGACAGGGATTGAACCTGGGTTGGCTGCATGTAAGGCAAGCACCCTACCCATTGTACTATCTCCCCAAACCCTTGGGGCATAATTTAGGGCATTCTCTCCCCTACTTCAATTAGTGTTGAGGAAATGCGAACTTTCCAGAACAGAGTGCAGTCTAGTTAGGAAATGCTGTTCTCCACAATAGGTTGCTTGAGGTCTGTCCCTGACATAGATCCCCTTCTTAGTGCACAGAGCCAGGAATTAACTAGATGGTGGCCAAGTCTTCGGTGGTTTGCCAAATTCTGTGACTTGAAATCAAAGCTAAAACCAAATAGTTTTGAGAGACAATTTAGGAACGTAATCCCACCCCTGCACTGTCAGAATTCTAATGCCTTTTTATTTCCTTCCCAGGAGCCATTTATCGAAACTCGCCAGGATGGTGTCTCTCGCAGATTCATCCCCCCAGCCAGGTGCCTGCCACACCTCAGTCCCCCTGTTCCTTGCCACCGGCCAGTAGAGTTTTAGTCACACCCAAATTTGCACCCGGGCGCCAGGTGATGGAGACCACGCCTCACCTAACCTGTGACTCTCATATTCCCTCCCTCCAGGCCCACCATAACCTTGTTAGTCCTGTTTTGTCCTGTAGCCATTTCCACAGTGGGAAGGGATAGTCATATCCTTGCTAAAGGATTGAGCAATGCTGAGGGAGGGATTCACAAGTCAAAGAGAGAGACTGGAGACGGGGGGCGGCGGGGGGGGGGGATTCACGTTTGCTTATCCCTACGTGTCATGGTAGCTGGCAAGGGGGACGGGGCGGGGGCGGTGGTCATCTTTAAAGCAGGCTCTCCTGACTCTCCTGTTCTCCTGTCAACGCCATGCAGCAGTGCTTTGATGCCTCCCTCTCCCTCCTTAGTTCATCCAGGCCAACCTCCGTGCTGAGTGTCCCTGTGGAAGACCAGCTTGGCCTTCCCTTGGGAGAGAGGTGCCCTTGGGAGTCGGGCTAGGAGTGGGTATGCGCTGGCGCTTGAGAGTCCCCGCCACTGGCACTGCAGTAGGTGGAGGAGGCTTCTCTGCTCCCTCATGTGGCCCGGGGGCGGGGGGCTGTCTGCAGGATGATGTCGACAGAAAGTGCCAATAGCTTCACTCTCATCGGGGAGGCATCCGACGGCGGCACCATGGAGAACCTCAGCCGGAGACTGAAGGCAAGTCCTTCTTCATGCTGGTGTGGTGTGGGGGGGCCTAGCTGACAGAGGGCTGGGAGCGGGGACAATAGCCAGAGCAGGCCCTCTGAATTTCTCACCTTCCCACCTTCGCAGGTCACTGGGGACCTTTTTGACATCATGTCAGGCCAGACAGATGTGGATCACCCCCTGTGTGAGGAATGCACAGACACCCTCTTAGACCAGCTGGACACTCAGCTCAACGTCACCGAAAATGAGTGTCAGAACTATAAGTGAGTGCCCGCAGAGCTGACCCCAGACACCGCCCTCTGGGCCCAGTCGCTGTCCCAGCTCCCCCCACCCCATTCCCTAGGGCTGTGCTCCCCTCAGCTGAACAGAGGCCTGTGTCCCTTCCGCTGAGAGCACTGTGCCCATGTCTTTGGCAGACGCTGTTTGGAGATCTTAGAGCAAATGAATGAGGATGACAGTGAAAAGCTCCAGATGGAGCTGAAGGAGCTGGCATTAGAGGAGGAGAGGCTGATCCAAGAGCTGGAAGATGTGGAAAAGAACCGCAAGATAGTGGCGGAAAATCTGGAGAAGGTCCAGGCTGAAGCCGAGCGACTAGATCAGGAGGAAGCCCAGTGAGTCATCCCCCCTTCCTGCCCTGGAGTCTCCAAGAGAGGAAACAGCTTCCAGCTAAACATGTCTGGTTAGTCTGTAAGTTGCAGTCTGCTGTCATTCAGCATGTCTGCACCCAGCCCTGCAGACCATATTTCACCACATAATCATGGTGGAGTCTGGGGCCTGTTTTTTTTTTAATTTATTTTTTATTTTTTGCAGCCACTGCAAAAAAGAAAAAAAGTGGGGTGTCACTGTTATTTTTATTTATTTATTTTTAGCTTTTTGGGTCACACCCGGTGATGCACAGGGGTTAATCCTGGCTCATGTACTCAGGAATTACTCCTGGCAGTGCTCAGGGGACCATATGGGATGCTGGGAATTGAACCCCAGTCGGCCGCGTGCAAAGCAAACGCCTTACCCGCTGTGTTATCGCTCTAGGCCCTCACTGTTATTTTTTAAGATTGTATTAATATTTTAAAAAACAGGCTGTAACTTTTATGTGATGATGACAGTTAGGCAGTAAAATATTATATTGTTTTTAGATCCTGCTTCTAGTGGTTGGGATAATCACACACGAACAGTCAGCATGAGTAAAAGAAGCATGTTGGTTAGATAGAGAAACTGGGGCTCAAGTGGCAGTTTTGTCCTCTAGGGGAATTGGACTCATTTGGGCAAGTCAGCTGCTAAACCCAGTGTCTCCTGGGAAGATGAGCTTTTTGGCCTACATTTATTCCTTCCTAGTTTAAAAGTGTCATTGCGGGGCCTGGGGCAGTAATATAGCAGGTCTTGCATGTGGCCGACCCAGGTTCCATCTCTGGCACCTGATGTGGTCACCCAAGCCTGCCAGGAGTGATCCCTGAATGCAGAGAAAGGAATAAACCCTGATCACTGCTTGGTGTGGCCCAAAAGGCAAAATAAAAGAAAAAAGGTCATTGCTCCTTTTGACCTGAGAAACCCCTTTGTCTAATGGAGGAGACACAGTGTCCAAACTAAGGTAGGGACTGGAGAGATAGCTCAGTGGGCTAAGTGCAGCCTTTGCATGCAGGAGGCCTGGGTTCAATCCCCAGAACCATATGGTCCTCTGGGCTTTGCTGGGTGTGACTCCAAAAACAAAAGAAGAACTCAAGTTGAGGAAGTGAAGGCCAGAGATTAATTTTTTCACAGAGTAGAATAACGTGGTACATTAGAAATGGTAAATCGGGGCCAATGAGATAGTACAGCAGGTAGGGTGTTTGCCTTGCATGCAGCCAACTAGTGTTTGATCCCTGGTATCCCATATCCTGAGCACTGCCAGGAGTGATTTCCTTATTGTAGAGCCAGGAGTAACCCCCTTAGCATTGCTGGGTGTGGCCCAAAAATTTTAAAGAAAAAATTAGAAATGGCAAATCCTAATTATTTAAAGGACTGTAAGCATACAGTCATGGAGTTGTAGAGGTTGAATTAATTGTAGCCAGTTCTTGAAAGAACAGGCCCCCCCCCATTTTTTTTTTTACTCTTTCAAGCCACACTTGACAGTATTCAGGGGCTAGTCCTAGCTTCGTACTTGGGGGACCATGTGGTATTGGGGATCAAGCCCAGACTTCCACATGCAAAGCAGGTGCTCCAGCTTGTCGAGCTTTCTCTCCATCCCTGAAGAAACTGCTTTTATCCCCTTCCTTCACTTTTGGAGAGATCAGCCACGCAGAGGTGTTTAGTCTCCTTCCCTCCACCTTGTCTGCTGGTAGGCAGCTCTAAAGTTGAGACATTCGTCCTTCTTGGGTAAAACAGCTGAGCTTGTATATTCCTTTGCATGAACTCATGAACTCTGTGTTAGAACAGAGGCACTAACTTAATGTAATCACTGGAATAAGCCATAAAGAGGAGCAGTGAGAGACCTTTCTGCCCCAAATTGACAGCCTTCACTTGGTGCCTGCAGGTATCAGAGGGAGTACAGTGAATTTAAACGACAGCAGCTGGAGCTGGATGATGAGCTGAAGAGCGTAGAAAACCAGATGCGTTATGCCCAGATGCAGTTGGACAAGCTGAAGAAAACCAACGTCTTCAATGCAACTTTCCACATCTGGTAATTAGGGTCGGAGGGGGCAGAGTGTCGGGGAAGCCGTACATTGCTGCACCTTAGCTGCTAAGTTCCAAACCAGGGTACCCGCCTCCCATAAAACAAGGTTGTCAACTCAATTCTAATTACCTTTCTTTTGCCCTAAGTGATGGAGTGGGTCCAGTCAAGGAAAGATGGTAGCCCTGCTCTCTCCCCGAAGTGTCACACATGGATTACTATCTTTGGTGTATTATCCATTTAACTAGTATCTGTGAGTGCCAGCTATCTGGTGGGCACTATGCTAATCCCGAAGGGCAGGAACAATATTATGCATTCTCCCATCTGGTTGCTTATAACCTAGTGGAAGAGATGGATGAATAATAGACACTAGTATTACAGTATACTAATGGCAGACTTGGGGCCCTGGGGGAACACTTCCTGATTTGGAAAGGCCGCACGGAAACTCGTCCCCAGCGGAGTTTGGTGTTTAAGCTGGGATGTGAAGTGGGAGTCTACAGAGGAGGAGAGTTGTTCCTGGCAGAGAGAACATCATGTACAAAAATCGGGTGGGGGGGGGTTGGATTAAATTTTTAAGAAATCAGGGGAAAGTGGGAGTGGTGGCTTTGGGATTTGAAAGGAGCTTATTGTGATGGGAGGTTGAGTGAAAAGGGGAGTGTGTGACTGGCTATAGATACGCAACTAGAGAGTTACTTCCCACTTCCTAAAGGAGCTTGTTGACCTTGTTGGGGGGTTTGGACTTTGTCTAAAAGTCAAGGTGGCGGGGGTGGTGCCATAGTACAGTGGGAAATATGTTTGCCTTGCACATGGCTGACCTGGGTTTGACCCCTGGCATCTCACATGGTGCCCTGAGCATTGGCTGGGTGTGACCCAAAAAGCCAAAAATAAATAGTCAAGGGGGCCATGGAAGCATTTTAGGCAGCAGAAGTGGCACAGTTACATCTGCATCTGTGAAGGACTGCCTATTCAGTGGCGGATGATTCCGGGGACAGGCAGGAACAGAGGCAGCACTGTTGGTCAGAGGGTTTCATAGGCGCTGAAACAGGACAGGCAAGAGTGCTGGCATTGAGTTTGGAAGGAAGGGGGCAGCTTTCAGCAATTTAGGAGGCAGAATCAACCAATTTCAGTTTGGTAGTTTTGCAGGGAGAGATATGAGAGTGTTTATAGCTGCTGCCCAAGTTTCTGCTTAGGCCTCTGAACAGCAGGGGATGGTGAGCTGAAGAGCTGAAGAGGGGCATGGGAGATGACTCACATTTTGGCCAGGTACAGTAGATCCTGCTAAGAGAAAATAAGGAGAGAAGTTACTAAGTTTTCGTTCTCCTTTGTTGCCTTCTCCCCTCTTTAGGCACAGTGGACAGTTTGGCACGATCAATAACTTCAGATTGGGTCGCCTGCCCAGTGTTCCTGTGGAATGGAATGAGATAAATGCTGCTTGGGGCCAGACTGTGTTGCTGCTCCATGCCCTGGCCAATAAGATGGGTCTGAAATTTCAGAGGTAAGAAACAACCCTGGGTCAGAAAGTGAGCTCAGAGGACTGAGGGCATGCTGTGCTGTGAGGGTGCGCAAGGGGTCAGGCTCATCCCTGGCACCCCATGGTCCCCCCAAGCACTACCAGGAGCAAACTTGGAGCACAGAACTGGGAGTAGCCACTGAGCATCACTGAGTGTAGCCATAGAACCAACTACCCAACAAAAAGCAAGCCTTTCTCTAGCTACGATCTATATTGGGTGGAGTATTATTTTGGGGCAGTGCCCGGCAGTGCTCAGGGCACACTCCTGGCTCTGTGCTCAAAGATCATTCCTGCTGTGCTTGAGGGACTTTATGGGGTGCTGGGAATCGAGCCCAGGTTGGTTGTGTGCAAGGCAAGTGCCCTGCCTGTGATCCTGTCTCACCAGCTCTCACCAGTGGTATATTTTTAAAATAAACTTTATCTGCAGTCTGGTGCTGCCACTATGGTAGGAGTTCTTGTTCCTAACAGACAGGGAGACGACGGCCCATCTGGTGTCCCCTTCTCCCTCGCCCCCCTCCCCCCACCCTCTGGGCTCTTTCCACTCAGTCCCTGAGCTATGTGACTATAACTGCGCTCCACAGTCTCCTGTCTCCACAACTTTATTGTTTCTCAAGCTGTCTTCAGGGGGTTTGTGTTTTTGTTTTTGTTTCCTTGGGCAGGGGTGGGGGGCTGGGGGATGATCATACCTGGCAGTGCTCAAGGTTTATTCCTGCATCGCATTTGAGGACCATGTAGTGTAGGGATTGAACCCAAAGCCTCAAACATGCAAGGCAAATGAACCACATTCTTTACCTTGTGCGTTTTTTTATTTGTTTTGGGGTCACACCCAGTAATACTTGGGGACTTCCCAGCTTTTGCTCAGAGTCTCTCCCAGTGGTGCTCTGGGAATCATGTGTTGAACCAGGTGTAGAACCCAGGCCTCCTGCATGCAAGTCATGTGCTCAGTCTTTTTCAGAGGAACATGCAATATTGTTCTAGGGATCAAACCTAAGCCTTTGTCACTCTAGTGATCACTTTAGGAGGAGTCCTGTGTTCATCTCTCTCTACATCTACTTTTTAGGTATCGACTTGTTCCCTATGGAAACCATTCATATTTGGAGTCTCTGACGGACAAATCTAAGGTACCCTAGGAAGCTCCCATTTTCACTAAAATGAAGAGTTCTTTTCTAATGAATTGGTTTACTTGGGGGTGGGGGGTGGGGTGCAAGGGAGAGGTTTGTAGAGATGAGGTTGGGGGCTTCCCCAGTGGTGCTGGTGCCAAAAGATCTAAAATGTTTGGGGTTTGGGGGCTGGAGCTATGGCACAGCAGGTAGGGCATTTGCCTTGCATGCAGCCGACCCAGGTTCGATTCCCAGCATCCCATATGGTCCCCTGAGCACCGCCAGGAGTAACTCCTGAATGCAGAGCCAGGAGTAACCCCTGTGCATTGCCAGGTGTGACCCAAAAAGCAAAAAAAATAAAATGTTTGGGGTTTTTTGTTTGTTTTTGATGGGGGGAGGGAATGGGCATGGCAGGGGGGTCACACCCAACAATGCCCAGGAATTACTCCTGGCTCTGCACTCTGGAATTACTCCTGGTGGTGCTCAGTGGACCATATGGGATGCCGGGAATGGAACCTGGGTAGGCCCCATGCAAGGCAAGTGCCTTGTCGCTGCAATATCATTCCAGGGCCAGAGAGACAGTACCTTAACTCCTGTACTGCCTCTCTGGCCCTGGAATGATTTATTTTTGATAAACACATTGAATTTCTGCGTTAAAGTGAGAAATTTTGGGGACTGTAACCAGAGTACAACCAGGAGGGTGTTTCCTTACACAGCTGACCTGAGCTCAAATCCCCTGTACCATATATGTTCCCCTGAATGCCCCTAGGAGTGATCCCTGAACAGAGAATCAGGAGTAAGCCCTGAATACAACTAAGTATGGCCCCAAAAACAAATAAAAAATTGACAAGAGCCAGTTACTCTTGTGTAGTTTAGCATCAGTTCTTTGGGACCTGATGCTAAACTACACAATTTTTCTGTAAAGAAAAATTAGGTTCTGACTTAAAGTTGAAAAGGGACAGGGGCCCAGAGGAGGAAGTGTGCACCATGGTGGGGAAGGATTCCCTGTGTGGAAGGTACTTAATCCATTCCCATTGATGGATTAAGGACAGAACACGATTAGCAGTTGATAGGACAGGAACAAGCACAGGTAACCTATCTTGGTGCCATATGTATAGCTAGTTTTCTTTCTTTTTTTTTTTTTTTTTGGCAGGAACTTCCATTATACTGCTCAGGAGGCTTGCGATTTTTCTGGGACAACAAGTTTGACCATGCGATGGTGGCTTTCTTGGACTGTGTGCAGCAGTTCAAAGAAGAGGTAGAGAAAGGCGAGACACGTTTTTGTCTTCCTTACAGGTCAGTATTCCCCAGTGCTTAATTAACTTAAATTTAATAAGATCAAACTGAACAGTATAGTAAAAATGGAGGTAGGGCTGGAGCGATAGTGCAGCAGGAGGATATTCACCTTGCATGCAACTGACCTAGGTTTGATCCCAGGCATTCTGTATGGCACTGCCAGGAGTGATTCCTGTGTGCAGAGCCAGAAGTATGTCCTGAGCATTGCTGGGTGTGGCCCTCAAACAAAAACAAACAAAAATCAGAGGGCAGGGGCAGGAGGATGGTGCTGTGGGAAGGTACTTGCCTTACCTACAACTGACCCGGCATAGGACTAGAGTGATAGTGCAGTGGGTAGGGTGCTTTTTTGCACGTGGTCAACACGGGTTCAATCCCTGGCGTTTGCCTTGCTTGCGATCGACCCGGGTTCGATTCTCAGCATCCCATAGGTCCCCTGAGCACCGCCGGGAGTAATTCCCGAGTGCAAAGCCAGTAGTAACCCCTGAGCATCACCAGGTGTGACCCAAACAAAAAGACCAAAAACAAAAACAGTTGACCTGGCTTTGATTCCTGGCACTGCATACGATTCCCCAAAACCCTCTAAGAGTAAGCCCCAAGCACTGCTGGGTATGGCCTGGAAACAAAAAGAATGGAAGTTAAACTTAGTATAAATAGAAATGCAGCAGATGGTGCCAAATTACAGGATGCTATTGAACAAGGACTAATCATCGTTGCATGTAGGACAGAAAGTGACCCACCTGCTCCCTAGAGAAAATAAACATCATCTTAGATGGTTTGGGGCATGGAACTCAAGCCCTTTCTCCAGTTTCAGGAAAGTTTTCCCCTGAAGCCTTTGGAAATATACTGGAATGAGGCTTCCTTTGGTCAGATTTTGTAGAGTCCAATGATGGATGGAGAGCTTAGTTCATGAGAGCTGTTTCTAGCACCCCAAAACAAAGTGTTCCTTTTCTTCTGCCTCCCCTCTCCCCATGAGTTCAGGGAAGCCTAGGAAAACAGAGGAGCACTATATCCTTCACTTACCCTCTGCTCCAGGCTGCTCATCTGTTTGGGTGTGTGTCTTGTCCCTGTACTCTGCAGTGACAATGAGGCTCTTGTGACAGCCCTCTTGATTTTTGGCTTTCAAGCAAATCCAAAATACACTACCGTTCTTCGCCAAGAGTTCTTTAATGGATAAAATGACGTGAATGGTCCCATGATCAAGTCCCTGCCCATTTGCCTGAACCGACTCAACTCAGATCTGTTACTAATGAGCCTCTGCTGTGTCTTTCTGCAGGATGGATGTGGAGAAAGGCAAGATTGAAGACACAGGAGGCAGTGGCGGCTCCTATTCCATCAAAACCCAGTTTAACTCTGAGGAACAGTGGACAAAAGCTCTCAAATTTATGCTGACAAATCTTAAGTGGGGTCTTGCTTGGGTATCCTCACAATTTTATAATAAGTAACTTGCTTTTTTCCCTAGGGGGAATTTTGCCTTAAAGGCTTTACATTTAAAATGTTTGGGGAGGGGAGAGGGAAAGAATTTTGGGGCTGGAGCGATAGTACAATGGGCAGGGTGTTTGCTTTGCACGCAGCTGACCCGGGTTCAATCCCCAGCATTCCATATGGTTCCCTGAGCACTGCCTGGAGTAATTCCTGAGTGTAGAACCAGGAATAATTCCTGAACATTGCCAGGTGTGACCCAAAAAGAAAAGTTTTAAAATGTGGGTACTATTAAACAACACATGTTTACAATATCAAAAAGAAAAAGAAATCAACAAAAGCCACTTAAAATATCGTGACAGTTTCCAGAACTACAACATGACATGTATAGCTACCAGCATTTGTTACAGCTTTCACTCTTAATTCCATGCCCTTTTTCCCCCACTCCCCTCAAAACTAATTTAATTTTTTTTTTTGTTTTTTAAACTGAGTTGAATTAAGATTGGTGTGTTTTCACTGGGTTTTCTCTCTCTCAACTTCCTGTATTTCCAATATGAAATAGAAACTTTTGTTTCCACTGATACGATGAAGTATGTGAGACAGTTGAATGAAGAAAACACAGAAGTTTTGCCTCGTCACCATGTGATGTGATGAGCATCTTGAAACTGAGCACTTCCCTTGGTTCTAGTAGTGAATGTCTACTGTACTCTGTGTTATAGTCATGAAGTGGTGTTTCATGCTGTTTGAGACACTATGGAGAGATTTAATTATTTGTAATAAAAGATATACTGCAGTCTGATAACTGCTCAGAGGTGCACTGTTGGGTTTTTCTTTAACTAAAGTAGAGTACACTTTGTGTTCTGGGAGAATTGAATTCAAGGACAAATATATGGAAATCCTGATGAAACATGTTTGGAGATGGGTTAGTTTTCACTTTGAAAAGATGAATAAAAATAAATAGCTGTAGAAAAAGCCCCAAATGCATAGGTTTCAGTAATAGAATAGTGTTTTAACTTTTTGTTTTTCTTTTTGGTTTTACCCGGTGGTGCACAGGAGTTACTCCTGGCTTTGCACTCAGGAATTACTCCTGGTGGTGCTCAGGGGACCTATGGGATGCTGAGAATTGAACCTGGGTTGGCCTCATGCAGGGCAAACGCCCTACTAATTGTACACTGCTCCAGCCCCATGTTTTAATTTTTAAGGGAAGTAAGTCTCTTGATACTCAGGCCAGGTCATCCAGATGGTTGTTTTCTTGAGCCCCCAATTAATACTAATCTACAAGTCTGATGTTCACTCTTTTGGTTTGTTTGAAGGACCACACCCACAGCTCAGGGCTTACTCCTGGCTCTGCACTCAGGGATCACTCCTGGTGGACTCAGGACATATGGAATATCAGGAATTGAACTCATTTTGGCTGTGTGCAAAGCAAATGCCCTACCTGTGCTGTACTGTTGCACCAGCCCCTCTAGTTTACTCTGACTAAAATTAACAAAGAAAAGCTATAAATACCATAAACAAAAACGAGCCATCTGGGCCTGAGAGATAGCTCAGAGGGCTGGAGCACATACTTTGTGTGCGGAGAACCAAACTCAAACCCCAGCACTACAGGGTCCCCTGAACACCTCCAGGAGAGATCTCTCAAATAGCCAAGCCGGGCATAGCTCCTGAGCGCCACTGGGTTTGGCACCAAAACAAAAACTAAAACAACTTCACAAATATTCTCTCTTCCCAACTTTTGACTCTTTTGATAGGGCAAAAAGCTATTCGCCTTAGCTCTGATGCAGACAGAAAAATAAGCATGATATTGGAACACAAAATACAGTTCAAAAGATAATTTGGAACTTTTGTACCCTGAGTATGAAAGTAAACAAAGGGAGGGATGGGTGAAGTGACGGAAGACTGTTTATAGCTGGCAGATTCAGCCTGCCTCATGAGTTGGAGGAAGCAACCGCCCTCAGAGCTCTGGCTGCCAGGTGGGGAGGAATAGGCTGCCGTGCCCCCGGAGTGTTGGCTCCCACGCTGTGAGTCAGGATTGCATAAGAGAACTCCACAATGCTTTCCAAGGCAATGCCAGTGATGCTCTGCAAATGGCCCACAACCTTCAGAAACAGAGACAGATTTCTTATTAATAAATAATCTCAACATGTCTCAGTGCACAAGCAGATACATTGCTTGAGTTGTTCTCTTTAGCCAAATGTAAGGGTTTTTTTGTTTCTCTGAACTCAGACAAGATTAAATCCAGATCCCAGTGTTTGCTAATCGTCAAATCATATTAGGATACCTTTGTCTTGATAGTGTTAGCATGGAAAATTTCTGCTGGACAGTTCATTCTGCTAGAGATACAGTCTTTGAAATATGAGAAGTGGTGTTTGGGTCTTGACATTTTTCTACTTGGGTGGATATATTTACTGGACTTATTAACATAATTATGAAGGGAAATGAAAAAGCTGAACTTGGGCCTCCATTTTCCAGCTTTGTCAGAGGAAAGCCTACTGTACCCTAGTTTTCCCACTCCCATTTCCTATTCCTCCCAAATGTTTGTTCATTATAATTCTGAGTCTTTGCACTTATCTTTCATAGGTTGTCTTCCGGTTTCTTTAACTGATGGGCGAATGCTTTCTATTAAATGAATTTTGCCCAGGCTCGTCCTGCTCAGTGGTGCATACCTGGCTCCAACACTCATGGTTTTGGATGAAAGCACTTGCTGCAATGATTGCTACTGCCAACAGCATGAAGTCTTCCTTCACTGAAATAAACTTTTCCCTAAATAATTAAAACCATATTAATTTTGGAGCTAGAATGAAACTGAATCTTCTAAATCCTAGGGTCATAGAACTTCAACTATGAGTTATTTATGTGGATTATCTTGAATTTTTTTTTAGACATGAAAAATCCCCCAGCGGCTCTCCCCCAACTCACAGGGATTAAAATATGAGCCTCATGTCTGAAGGTTGTAGGCCTTTTGTTGTTGCATCTGTTTCCCTAACAGATGTATCTGAGGCTTTACACCAATCTGACTTTACAGTAATCAGACACTTTTGTCCAAGTTTCAAGCCTGTGACTGGCTTTAGAAGTAACTCAGTAATTTTAGTTATTAGCGTCAATAAAGGCAGAACTAGGGGGGAAAGTGTATTAATTACTTGAAACCATTTCAATTTAAAGGTAAAAGACTTTAGGGCTTTCAGATTGGACTCAGTCATCTGTATCCAACCAACACACTGGAATTTAATTAGCACCAGGCAACCAGAACTGTGCAGATATCTGTGTACTGGATGCTTTGCTAGGTTAATTCCATTCCCCAAGATTTTGTGGCATGTTTCCCATTTCTGGAGGGGCCTGCCCTTCCTTACCCTTGTAGTTGACTGGGTGTGGAGTTTTCGATTGAAGCTCTCAGCAGGCTCTCATATATGGGTTCATGCAGAAGGTAGACTATGTCAAGTAGAGTCAGGCAAGTTGCATGCAGCTGTGTAGCTGGAACCAAACAGCCATTGTATCCTAGATAGAGTAAGGGCATGGTAAAGAGCATTATGTGGGTCTTCTCTAATCTAAATCACAGTTCTCACATAACATAAAGCTATGGAACTGCTAATGTGCTTCCTAGTTGCTCTGATCTGTAAGAAATTTCTAGCTAGAGGTCAGTCTTAAAGGGCAAAGAAAGAGAGCAACTTCATCCATGGAATATATCCAATCAGTACCTTTGTTTACTCCCATATAATGTCATGCCGCTCTATAAAACCAATTTTTTTTCTGGGGCTGGAGGGAGAGTACAGTAGGTAAGCTTGCCTAGATTTGATCCCCAGCACCCCATATGGTCCCCATGATGCCAGCCAGGAGTGATCCCTGAGCACAGAGCCAGGAGTAAGCCCTAAGCACTGCTGGGTGTGGCCTCAAAACTTATTAAAATAATTTTTTTCTACAATAATAGAGTGCCTAGTGAGTTCAAATAGAGGCCAGATGCTGAGACCTGAGCCTTTCCTTGACAAATACCAGACGGAATATTTTCCTCACTCATCCTGGGCTTCTTTCTATTCCTCATTAGTGTATTTTGCTGTTAGCCCCAACTCCCTGGATACTTCCTTGTTGCCTGCTATGGAAGACTCAAACCCACATACCCTGAATACAGTTTATAAAGTACCTAAAACCTCCAGGAGCAGCTCCACGTATGCCAGGGGAGTAGGCAGATTGATTTGGAAGTTTAGGGACTTCAAAACATCAAGCTCTGATTCCAGAAGTTCTTCTTTTGTATGTAAATACCCAAGAGTATGGAGGAAATTCAGGACTGTAACGTTGCTAATTATCTGAGCAAAGAAAACAGAGGGAGGAGAAAATGGTGCCAGAATAAAGGTCAAACATCTTGGCATATTATACAAAATCCTTCACAATTCAGCGCATGCCTTCATCTCATCTCTCTTTGTGGTTCCCCTTTATACTCTGCTTATCAGTACTTGCAGTCCCCCAAACCACCACAACCCCCCAAGTGACTACACATGCTATTTCCTGGAGGTCTATCTCCTTTTCTTGCCCCCTCCTCACTTCTTAAGTTTTCTTCCTCTTCTTGTGTCCTCCCCATTTCTAGAAGTAATTTTCTCTAGGGACTGGAGAAACAATACAATGGGTAAGGTGCTTGCCTTGTGTATATGGCAGACCCAGGTTTGATCCCCGGCACCCCATATGGTCCTCTGAGTACTGCTAGGAGTGATTCCTGAATGTAGAACCAGGAGTAATCCCTGAACACCACTGGGTGTAACCCAAAAACAAAAGAAGTAATTTTCTCTAAATATGCTTATGTGATTTTCCAAGGTTGATGAGGTATATAACCCTCTGTATTTACATTAATCCAAATTACTTTGTCACATTATTAGCCTATGTGTCATCTCATTAGATAATTCCTGGAGAATTCAAGATTTTTATTATTGTAACCATGATATCTAGTACAGCATCTGGCCATAGAAAATGAATAATACAATTGGGGGTCTGGAGAAATAGTACAGCAGCTAAGGCACTTGCCTTCCATACAGCTGACACAGGTTTCATTCCCCAGCACCTCATATGGTCCCTGTGCCCGTGAGGAGTTATTCCTGAGTGCAGAGCTAAGAGTAAGCCCTGAGTACCACCAGATATGGCACAAAAACAAAAAATTGTTGAATTGATATTTTACCATGTAGGCATTGGGTACTGATGAGGAAACATTTAATCCTTTACAAACATTATAGTTTGTCTCTGAGACTGATAGGTACATTGGCTGTTCAATCATCTTATGTAAACAGCCCTTGAGCCCAAGGGAAATAAAGGTGACCCATGTGAATGATGGCATCTGTCCAGCAATTATAGTTTGGGAACAGAAATGAAGGCTATTAAATAACCGCCTAAGTGCGACTGTGTGTCTGTGTGTGGAGGAGGTATGCTGCGGAAGTATTATCACCCTCAGGAATTTCCAGATGAGTAGTATTACCTAGCCTAGGAGTAAGTTTCTCACAGTCAACTTTGGATGAGCTGGTTTCTTTCTAACATTCAGTTGCCCATGAAAAACCCCCGATCCTTACTTTGTAATGAAAGGAAAGTTTACTCGCCAGCTGAACACATGACACAAGGCGCAGGATAAACTTGTTGAAAAGCTGCTCTTTCAGAGCCCTCCAGTTCTGAGTCTCTGTTTTATTTCTCAACTGGATTGTGGCTTGTCTGCAAATATTCTCTGCCTGCTTAACCATAAACCTATAAAGGGAAAGGAAGAGTAAACAGTCCACACTCATTCAAACTAAAGGGATTGTGTGCTTCAAACTGTTTATTCTTTCCAATATGAATCACTGGCTAAGAAAGCTACACGTACAAGAGAATAAATAGTGCAAAATCAAGTCTCATGGTATGGAGCTACTTTTTAAGATTTGGGTACCTTAGCTATTCTGAGAGGTACCAACTCACAAAGGCTTTATGCTCAGGGCTTTACCTTTCTAGGATTTCTACGGCCTGGTAGCGCACAGATTTCTCCAGACACCATTGTTCAGACAGGAGAAAAATAAACTCTGCCAAAACAGGAAAGAGCCTAATTCACAAGATGCAACCAAAACCAAACTCTGTGAACTCTTGGCATTGTGTGAAAGGAATGACAAGGCCAAAGGAAGAGGGTCAGGAGGTGAGAAAGATGAGACTGTAACAACTCAAGCTGAGCTTGGTTCTTTTTGCTGGCAGTAGGCAGATCAGAGGCATGAAAAGGAGGCTGACTGAATGCCAAAGACAAAGGCTCACCAAGCTCTCCTTAGAGACTCTTGAGCCTTCCTGTGGGTCTGAGCTGATAAAAGGCTTGGCCAGCTGCACACAAACATACCAGCTGATCTTATTGGCCTCTACACCATGCTGGGACCCCCCATCTTCAAGGGAGCTTCTTAGATAAAAAACCTTAACCCCTATATTGTTTTTAGTGGAATGTTGACAGGAACAGAAAGGTCCCTCCTGGTGCTTTAGTATTCTTTATAATACTGTTTGTTTAGTAACCACCCTCTGGAGAACTCCCATTGCTTTACAAACACAATTCAGCTTACAGCTGAACATCATCTTCCCACCACTAGTTTGTTGGGTAAATCTGGGGTGGCTGAGCCTCATCCCAGGAGCATGTTTGTTACTGTGGAGTGTCTTGTTCTGAAGAAACGTCCCCTATACCAGGGAACACAGTCCAGTTTTGCAGAGAAGGAGTCTCTTTGGGAAGTGGGAATGACAAAATACCTTGGCAAGATTTTAAGCCGCCTCAATTTCTCTTTGAAAGTACAATCCCAGATAGAATTTTATTTAGTTTGCAGTATCATTAGGGAGTGGAAACAAGGAAAAATGTTAGTTCTCAACAAAAAAACTCCTGCAGAACCAGGAGCTTTTAGCACTTATGAGCAAAGAGTTACAAATTTCCATGTCTTCAGGGAAAATTTTACTTTCTTAGGAAGAAATTATATATAAGTCAAGCTAGATAGTTTAATCATTTACTTGATATTAAAGCTATCAAGACCGTACTATTACATAAACTAAATCTATGCTAGCATGTTCAATGCAGAAAAGAATTAGTTCAAGCAATTAAGCAAAAATTCCCTAGAACACATAATTGAGTTGTTAGCAAGTTCTTTTATTCCCTAGAATTAAGGACTTAGGCACTTGTTTCTATTTTCTTTTTTTTTTCCTAGTGGGCTACATCATATATACTGCTGGGGGTTGCAGGATTTGCCTTAACCCCTGTACTATCTCTCTCTAGCCTCTATTTTCCGTTTTAATTTGTCAAGAAAAGTGAGCTTGGGGAGCCAGAGCGATAGTAAATCCCTGGCATCCCATATGTCCCCCTGAGCACTGCCCAGGAGGAAATCCTGAGAGCAGAGGCAGGAGTAACCCCTGAGCATGGCCAGGTGTGGTCCCAAATCCTCCTTCCAAAAGTGAAAAAAAAAAAAAGAAAAAGAAAAGTGAGCCTGGGTTCATTGAAATTGATGAAAGCTACACCTTTCTCTCTGCTGGTTCACCTCCTGCACTTACAAGTATACACAGATCTATTGTTAACAAAAGATCCGTTTCTGTCCTTTTAAGCTGGAACCTGTGCTCTTTAGTTTCTGTCACTCTTCAATTTGAAAGTTTGCTTCTTCCACTTCAACATTTATTCCCCAATGTTGTGCACTTTGTTTTCAACTTTGGCCATCTTGCTAAAATGACTATCTCAAAGGTGAACAAGTACGCCCACGGCCCCAGAAGCACAAGGACTTAATACAGAAATCCAGCAGCTTGGAGCAGAAAAAGCGAATGGACTATGCATTAATCCGCGCCATCTTGCCTGCCCGGAGGGGAAAGGGTGTTGCTCCCTTCTGCCTTCTCCTCTCTGGAAAGAAAGAAAGATGGCGGCCGCATGGGAGCCTGGTGGAGAGCAGGTCTGAGCCAGGGGTTGGGGCGCGATGGGTACCTCATGGGACGGGGGGCGCTCCGGCCCGTCCTTCACGCCCGGCCGAGGTCACCAGTTGCCCCCCACGAGCGGCCACGGCCCCAGAAGCACAGAGACCAATCTCTTAATTATTTGACTCTCAGTAGAAATACTTGCAGGGTTAATAAATAAAATAGCAGAAATCAAAAAAAAAAAAAAAGGTGAACAAGTATGTCCAAATCCTTAAATATTGTGGTCTTTTTGCAAGCCTCATTCCCGTTGTTCACTCTCCCAAAGCATCTGAGACAGCTGACCCTTATCTCTCTAGAAACTTTCCTCTTGGCTTCCAAAAGGAAATTTTCCTCTTGTTTCTATTTCCCCAGATACTTTCAGCTTCCTTCCTTTTCTTCACTTCTCTTCTCCCTACTCCAGTTCCCACAAAATGTTTCCCAGGAATTGTCCTTTTCTTCTCTTTTCTTTCTCTAGAAGCTAATCTTCTGCCAGTTTCAACACCATCATTGTGAAAATAACTCATTAAGCCTTTATTTCTAGTTCTAACCTCTCTCTGGCTTAATTTTTATTAATGTAGTAGTAGTAGTAGTAGTAGTAGTAGTAGTAGTAGTAGTAGCAGCAGCAGCCATCCTCATATAGTAATAGTAGCAGTAGTAAAGGATGAAACCCAGGGCCTCACACATGCAAGGCAAGAGATCTACCACTGAAGCATATCCTTGGCCCCACCTGGCTTACATTTTTAAAAATCTGCTATAAATCATCTTGAAGATGAATTGCAAACATCTAAAACTCAGTAGATCCAAACACGAAGCCTAAAATCTTTCATAAAAATGTCATGTTTCCTCCTGTTTTAATTTTTAATGTATATTTCTCATAATGGCACCAAAACATTCCCATTTCCATCTTTGTCATCACCTTCTTTTCCTTTTTATCAGACCCAAGAGTTCACACTTTCAAAGCAATATACTCTACCTCTGAGAAACACCCACTGCCTATCCATTCAAGAACTCAAGATTTGGAGAGAGACAGTACAGAGGGTAAGGCACGCTTGCCTTGCATGCAGCCAACCTCGATTTGAACAGTGATTCTCAGCATCTCATATGGTCCCCTGAACACTGCCAGAAGTAATTCTTGAGTGCAGAGGCAAGAATAATCCCTGGGCATTGTCTGGTGTGCCCCATCCCACCCCCCCCCAAAAAAAAAACCCTCGATTTTATTTTTTGGCCTCCAATCGTTTTTCATGAGCCAGAACGTTAGTATAGTGGGTAGGGCATTTGCCTTGCACACAGCCAACTCAAGCTCAATCCCTGGCATCCCATATGGTCCTCCAAGCACCACCAAGAATAATTCGTGAATGCAGAGCCAGGAGTGACTCCTGAGCATAGATGAGCGTGACCCCCCAAACAACAATCATTTTTCATTCATCCTGGTCTCTCTGCCTTATCACCTGACTGCTAACACATAGCCCACTGTCCACTTCTCTCCCATCGACTCCAGTCTGTCTTTCCAAACTAACGTTTCCTGCAAACAAGATTACAGTCCTGTAACTCCCATATGTAAAACCCGTCCCTGCTAAAACCGTCCCTGCCTTGTTTTCCAACTCAGCTCAGTGTCAACTCCTCACCATGGCATTCAGATATCCGCATATTGGAAAGTCTTATTTTTCCTTCCTGCGACCATTCCTCCACTCAACCTGGATAACCCTACAAACTCCCACACCTCGGCTCCCTCCACCAGGTCCCTTTGGGGAGAGATACTGCTCCCCTTCCTCCTGCAGTCACCACCCAGCATTGCTTTCCCTGGGGTTCGCTTCAAAGGCCCCCATGTCTGGAGACCCCATCTCCACCATGACAGACTGGCATGTATCTCTCTCTCTCTCTCTCTCTCTCTCTCTCTCTCTCTGTACCCTGCACATGGGTCCCCCAAGCCTGCCAAGACGATATGTGTAGGCGGGTGACCCTCAGGGAGCTGCAGTACTTCCTGAGGAAATTAAGAGTAGGGGGTCGATTCACCCCCAGCTCCCCAGTGCCTGGCACACAGAGTGGGTGCTGACGAAATGGATGAGCGTGAAAGAAACTGAGGCTCTGGCTCAGCGCCTTCCCTGACTGACCCCTGGCTCCTAGAAACCCGCCTCGCCAGCCCTGGGTCCACACCCACGATGCGGGGCTCCCTGAAGCTGCCCGTCCGGCCCGCGGCCTCCTGCACGGCCCGGTTATTCTGCTGCGCCAGGTGGAGAAGAGCGTCTTCGATGGTCTCGGTGGCCACCACCCCGAACTGAAAGTCACTGAGGGCGGCCAGTCTGGGCCTCGGCGGTCTGTCCATTTTCAGAAGTCAGGGGGCGCTCAGAAGCTCACTGGATTCAATAAACCGACCCTGCGGGTTTCTCTCTGGAACCTTCTGGCCCCACTCTGAATTTTTCGCTCCCTTCGGGGTGTTTGTCTTCGTCTGAAGTCTGAGGAAAACCCAATTTCCTCTCAGGCTCGCCTCAACCACGGTCTTTTCCCGCCCCAACGGCACGAATCCCTCAGCCAATCAGAAACTAAGGCTGCTTTCCTCCGCCCGCCTTTCCAGCCAATCAAAAAGCAGCACCGCTTTCCGCCTTTCCCCCTCTCCCCTCTCCCCCGCCCTTCCTAGGCCTAGCAGCTCCCTCCGGCGAGCGCGGAAATGGGGACTACATCTCCCAGCGTCCCCTGCGCCTGCTATTCCCAGCACGCCCTGCGGCCCCCGCCCTCCCGCCGCCTCCCGGACCGCGAAGGGCGGAGCGGCAACATGGCGGCGTCGGGAGCTGATGGGCCGGTGGACGTCAAGAGTGGAAAGGCCCCCGTGGCTCAGCGCATCGACCCGAGTCGGGAGAAGCTGACTCCCCAGCAACTGCATTTTATGCGACAGGCGCAGCTCGCTCAGTGGCAGAGGACGCTGCCACAACGGCGGACCCGGAACATCGTGACCGGCCTGGGCATAGGAGCCCTGGTGTTAGCCATTTGTATCCGTCCGAACTGTAGGCCGAGGGAAACCGCACCTGGGAGTGGAGGAAGGAGTGAGGAGCGCCAGGGCAGTGAGAGGGGGTGGAAAGAGCCCGAAATGCCAGTCCTGACCACTTCTGGTGCTGAGCGCTTAATGCACTTTAGCTGTTTCAAGGTGCCCTGTGAAGGACCTGAATGTGGCCCAGGGGAGGGCAGTTGCCTTGCATGCAGCCCTCCCGGGTTCGATCAGGACACCGTATTTGATCCCCCGAGCCCCACCAGGAGAGATCCCAGAGTAACATATAATATGTAATATTGCATATTACATATGGGTTATTAGCTATAATCATAGCTATTATGCATCACGATCTGTATGTATATATGGATTATTCCATAATAATAGAATTGGAGTGAGGGCAGAAGGCAGTCATTGATTTGAGAAGAGAAAGTAATAAGGGTGGCTAGTTTAAGAAGAAGGGAATATGCACATTCCAAGTGTTTTCCTAAACCCACTTCCTCAGATGGTTACACCTTCTACTCAGTGTCCCAGGAGCGCTTCCTTGATGAGCTGGAGGATGAGGCCAAAGCAGCTCGAGCCCGAGCTATGGCAAGGGCATCAGGATCCTAATCCAGTAGGGCACTTGCCTCCATCTGCAACCTGCTGGAACCTCCTTCCCCATGACCCTGTGGAATCCGAAGTCTGGCGTCACTACCTGTGGATGATTTAGCCCAAGGATCCGGAGAATGATCCCAGAGGCCCCTCTTCAAGGAAGCACTGCCCATTTCACCTCGTGTTGGTACTGGTTTTATGTGGCAACTTTGACTTTTCCCAAGTGTTCTGACTTGGCTTCCGCCCTTCCCCTTCTAGGGTTTGGACATTTGAGGGTGGGGGTGACAGCCGTGTGCAGGATTGGAGCCTCAAGTGGGAAAGCTGGGATCTGGTTGAGGAAATAAATGGAGTCATCTCTCTTGGGGCCAGGTGAATGTGTTGGGGCGGGACAGGGCACTTCATGCCAAAAAGTGCCACCTTCGCTGAGGCAATGGCATTGCCCCAGGAAACTGGAAATGTTTAACTAGAATGACTTTTTCCTTGCAATCTTTCCGCCTGATTTAAAGGAGGGATCATGGTGGGTCACCGGGCTGTTGGGGACCGAGTGTTACCGGGAAAGTGAAGGTCACTCTTCTGTCCTCTACCCTCAGGAACTCCACTTTGGCTGGGGCTAGAGCTCAGTGGTAGAACACGTGCTTGCATGGCTGTGACCCTGAGTGCCATCCCCAGTGCTACTGCCCCCTGCCCTGCAAAAAAAAAGCAGAACGCCACATACTAGCTCGTGATTTTTTTTTTTTTTTTTGAGGCGGTTTGGGTCGCACCCAGTGGTGCTCAGGGTTTATGGCTCTGTGCTCAGGGATCAATCCTGGTAGAACCTAGGAGACCTTATGAGGTGTCCGGGATTGAACCAGGCCAGCAGCATGCAAAGCAAGTTCCTAGCCCCTGCGTGCTCCATCTTTACTGCCTTTTCCCATTTCTGGAGCTAGTGACAAAGGCTGAGGAACCAGCAGCCTCCCCTAACTGCCACTGGGGCCTGTTTGTGCTGGATAGGATCTTAACTTGGTCAGGCATCAGTGCCCTTGCTGATTTCCTGATGGAATGCTGGCAGGAACCCTCCCGCCTCTCCGCTTTCCTTAGAAATGAAACTGCTAAATCCTGCCCTGCTGCCCCCCACCACCCACCCCCAGCCCCACAGTCTCTCCCCTCCCAGTTTTCTTCAGGCACAACTGAGATTCGCAGAGTCCTCTCCAGCATTTTTATTGGCTGCTGCTAATCCCGGTGTGAGAACAACCACCTGCCCAGCTGGGAGTGTGCCCTCTAGAAGCATCTGGGCTTGGGTGGGGATCGCTTAGTGGTTGACCCTTGGTGGGGAGGGCCAGGCTGAAGTTGGCAGGGCAGCAGATCTGACAGCAGCTGCTCTCAGCAGGTAGTTCCCGAGGTTTGGCTCTCGCTGGCCTGGTGCAGCCCTCTTTGCCTCTAGCCGGCTGGCTACTCCCTCAGTGCTGGAACCCTCCGGGCGCAGCTGGCTCAGTCAGCACGAGCTCCGTGGTGGCCCCTGGTGTGGGGGAGACATATGGCTTCTGTTCTGCATTCACTGGAGAGAAAGGAAAAATCACTGAAGAGACCTGGACGGCAGGAGGAGGAAGCTGCCTCAGTTGCCCTGCCTGGGGCTCTCCCGCCCTTGGGCCCGCCCTCACCATCCTGCCAACATCCCCGGCGAAGGTCACCCCCTTGCTTGCCCGCTGCTCCTGGGAGCCACTGCTGCTGCCACTCAGGGAATTCCTTCGCATGATGCCTGGAAGCAGGATGGGAAGGGAAGAAGAGCACGATGAGGGAAGGGGGAGGCAAGCCCCCCAAGCCCAGGGGCTGAGTCCCAGGGCCTGCAAGCAGCTATCTGGCTATACAGGTCCTCAATTTCCTTCTTCTGGAGGCTCTGCAGTGCCTCCACCTCTGACAGGTGCCTGAGGAGGCAGCGGGGGTCTAAGCAGCTGGGTCCTAACTCGGCTCTCCCAACCCCAACCTTGTCCCACTCTTTGTTTTTTTTTTTTCGTTTTTTGGATCACACCCGGCAGTGCTCAGGAGTTACCCCTGGTTCTGTGCTCCGGAATTACTCCTGGCAATGCTCGGGGGACCATATGGGATACATATGGGTAGGGAGGGGGCCATGGAGTCTCACCGGGGCCCGGGCCAGGGGGCTCTGTGCGCTGCAGGCTGTTGCGTCGGGAAGTGGGAAAGCTGCCCTTGGACAGCGAGAGTCGACGCTGGCGGCTCGACAGCATGGCGGCGGGGGCCACGATGCCTGGCGGGGGCTGCTTCCCCAACCGGCTATACAGGTCCTCAATTTCCTTCTTCTGGAGGCTCTGCAGTGCCTCCACCTCTGACAGGTGCCTGAGGAGGCAGCGGGGGTCTAAGCAGCTGGGTCCTAACTCGGCTCTCCCAACCCCAACCTTGTCCCACTCTGTTTTTTTTTTCCTTTTTTGGATCACACCCGGCAGTGCTCAGGAGTTACCCCTGGTTCTGTGCTCCGGAATTACTCCTGGCAATGCTCGGGGGACCATATGGGATACTGAGGATTGAACCGAGATCTGCTGCGTGAAAGGCAAACGCCTTACCTGCTAGCTGTCCTATTGCTTCCTCACACCCCCCTACTTCCCCTAACACACACACACACACACACACACATACACACACACTCACTTACTTCTGCCTGAGGCTCTGCAGTTCAGCCCAGAACTCCTCATCCTCTCCGCTGCTCTCCGAGTCCTCGCTGCTCAGACACAGGCTGCTGTACGAGTAGTTCATCCACACCGGGCTGACGTGGCCCAGGGCTGTGCCACCATCTGCCTGGGGATCCTTCCCCTCGGCCCCTTCTTCCTCGGCACCAGCCCCCAGGCCTTCGGTAGTGCGGTCACTCTCAGCCAGAGCTTCCTGGGCCTCAGGCCCGCTGCCAGCGCTGTCCTCTGTGTCAGAGCTCTCCGAGGACAGCGGAGGGGTTGCAGGCTTCAGGGAAGCCGATAGCGCTGGGGGTGTCGGCAGAGGAGGCAGCCCAGCTGGCTCCTTGGATGAAGTCACCTGGAATCGCCCCACGAGCTGGGGCTTCCCTTCTGTGGGGAGATGGAGCAGTGGCGGAGAAAAGCCAGTGGGTGGAAATAAAGAGCCCGGGCAGCGGGCAGGGAGAAGGCCAGAGGCAGCTCTCACCTTCCGAGATGGACTCCAGTCTAGCTTCATCCAAAAGTGGCCAAGCAGGGTCTGGAGTGGCCTAGGAGGCGGTTCCATGAGGAGAGGAATGATCCAGAAGGGGGCCCCCTGATTCTCCCTCTTGCTGTCCTACTCACCTCACTCTCCGGCTCCGCTGTCAGGGGTGAAGGCCGCTCTGGGCTGCAAGGAGCATGGGGCGGGGGCAGGCTGGGGAGGGGCCCCAGAGGGGCTGGTGGAGACTGGGAGAGGGGCCCGGGGGAGGGGGACAGCAGGGACTGGGCCACGGTCATCACCGCCAGAGAGAAGGCACTGGCCAGAGAGAGGAGAGGGGCTGCTGTGGTGGTGGGGAGGGAAGAGGGGGTGCACATGGGAAAGGCCGGAGGCAGGGGGGTCTGGGTGCTACCAGGAGAAAAAGGGGGTGGAGAGCTGGGGAGGAGAGAGCTCTGGGGAGCTTGAGAGGGTGGGATCGGAAATGGGGCTATTCCTGGGGAGCTGGGCGTGAATGGAGAGAGACTTGGGGAGGCCTGGGAAGAAACTGAGGAGGAGGAAGAGGGGCTGGGCTGACATGGGGGAGACGTGATGGGGAACATGGGGCTGGGGAAAGCAGGGGTTCCAGGGGAAAATGGGTTTTCAGGAGACACGGGGGTTCCCGGAGAAGATGGGGAGGCGGAGAAGGCTGCCCAGCACCTCTGCTCCAGGGACGCCAGCTCTGCCGGGAGGAGGGCGAGGAGGGCGTGCTGAGGGTCCCTCAGCCCTCCCCAGGGGAACCCCCAGGACAGAGACTCCGGACTTACCACTGGAGGGGTCTGGGAGGGTACAGAGGGGTCCTGGCTCCTCCTAAGGCAGAGAAAGGGGCCCTCAGTTATGGTAGGGAGGAGTGAGGCCTCCCCAGGGACACTTCTGCCTGGAGTCGAACACTAGGACCAGGCACTTCTAGAAGACTCCAGTCTCCAAGAGCTGAGAAGTGTACGTGCTGAAATATTCGCGTTAAAGGGGCTTTGGTGTCTCCAACTGACACCAAGTGTGTGGGGGGGGGGGAAGGGAAGAGGGTGGGAGAAGAGGGGGCACAGGGAAATGAGCTTGGGAAATCTGGGCAATGGTAAACTAGGAATTTTGTGGTACGATTCCTGCAATTTCTTTCTAAGTCCGAAATCATTTCAAAATAATGAGTGGGGCTGGAGAGCCAGCACAACGGGTAGGGCGTTTGCCTTGCACGCAGCTGACCCGGGTTCGATTCCCAGCATCCCATATGGTCCCCTGAGCACCGCCAGGAGTAACTCCTGAGTGCAGAGCCAGGAGTTACCCCCGTGCACCGCCAGGTGTGACCCAAAAAGAAAAAAAAAAAGAGTTTAAAAAAATGTGTGGAGGGGCTGGAGCAATAGCACAGTGGGTAGGGTGTTTGCCTTGCATGTGGCTGGCCCGGGTTCGAATCCCAGCATCCCATATGGTCCCCTGAGCATCGCCAGGAGTGATTCCTGAGTGCAGAGCCAGGCTAACCCCTGAGCATTGCCGGGTGTGACCCAAAAAGCAAAAAAATAAAATAAAATAAAATGTGTGGAATATGTTTTTCTGGAACAAGGGCTTCATCAGATTCTCCACAAGGCAGGGGACGCTTTCTAGTGTCACAAAGGTGTAAGATCCCAGGGCACTGGGGAGGTGGGTGAGTAATGACGCCTGCAACAGCCCATTTCCCTGGGGGGAGGGGTTCTAGAAGGTGCTGACCTGGGGGCTCAGGGTGTCTTCAGCAGGGCCCACAGGGCCAGTATCGCGCTTCAACAGGGTCTCCACTCGCTGGATAATCTCCCGGATTCGGCTCAGGAAGCCAGCTCGCTCCGAGGGCAGGATGAACTCGTTGTACACCTAGAGACGGTCGGCAGGACAGAGAAGGAGGCTTCATTATCCCACTCTGTCTCCCTCCTGCCCTTTGGAACCAACTTTAAAAGCCAAAAGCTTCACCCCACTGTTTCTGCCCATCACCATCCTCAAGCCTGAGTTTGTGAGTATCTGTGGCCGCCAGAAGCTAGGAGCTGGGAGAGGAAACAATTGGGAGGAGGCGAGTCTATGCCCAGCACTTCCAAGTCACAATTTTCAGGGGTCTGTGTTAGCATTCCCATTTTACTTTCTTTTATTTTAATACTTTGGAGGCCACGCACAGCAGTGCTCATCAGGGCTTACTCCTGGCTCTGTGCTCAGGGATCATTCCTGGAGCTGCTCAGGGTTCATATGGGGAGAGAACAAAAACAAAGTCAGACACGTGCAAGGCAAGGACTATCTCTTTGCCCCCACCCCGCCCCAATATCCTTATTTTAATGTAAAATATCCACTGCCCAAGATCACAGGATTGGCATCCAATCTTCAAAAAAAAACAGGGTTCTTTTTTTGCAAGGCAACACAGTTGCCTTGCCTGCTTTTAGACACAGTTCTTGCCCATCATAGGCTTACAAAATAAACCACCCTGGGGATGGAGCGGTAGTCCAATGGGAAGGGGATTTGCCTTGCAAGTGGCTAACCCAGGTTCCATCTCCAGCATCCCATATGGTCCCCCAAGCACCACCAGGAATAATTCCTCAGTGCAAAGCCAGGAGTAGCCCCTGATCATAGCCAGATGTGACCCAAAAAGCATAATACAAAAACAAATGAAAACAAAATATAATTAATCACTCAGACCCAGAACAGACCTACAGCACTGGAGAAAAATAAGGCCCTAAGTGGTGAATCCCATGTTCAATTCCAACAATACATAATATGAGTCAGGTATCATGGGCAGTACCCTGAGGAATTCAGGGAGCACAGAACCAGCTCCTGAGTTCTGAGGAAGCCCCAAATCTACTGGAAGAGACACATACACCGCTAATGATGCACTGCAAGCCAGCTGTGGTAGGCAGCAGAGATCTAGATAACGTATAGATTCGTGATCAAGGTACAATTTATGACACAAATGCTGTTTTAGGAACTGGGGAGACAGAACAGCACTTTCCTTGCATGTGGCCAACCCAGGCTAGATTCACTGCACCCAATATGGATCCCTGAGCACTCAAGGAGTGATCCTTGAGCGCAGAGCCAGGAGTAAACACTTAGCACTGCCAGGTGTGGCCCCAAAGTAAAAAAAAAATTTTTTTCAAAGCTGGGGGGTTAGAGCAATAGTATAGAGGACAGGGTGTTTGCCTTACAAGCTGTTAGGACTGCGGCATCCCTATGGTTCCCTGAGCATGGACAGGAGTGATCCTTGAGCTCAGAACCAGGAATAAACCTGGAGCACTGCTGGGTGTGGCCCCAAAACAAAAAGATGGAGAGATGGTACAAGGGTTAGGGCACTTGCCTTGCATCCCACTGACCCTGGTTCAAAACCCTGGCACCACACAGGGCTCCTGAGCACCTCCAAGGGTCATTCCTGAGCACAGAGTCAGGAACAGCTCCTGAACATCACCAGGTGTGAGTCCCTAAACACCCCCCCTCAATTTTTTTTATTTTCAGTATCTGCTTTCCTTTGACCATTAGATTCGATATGAGTCACCCTCAGTGTCCCTTCTCCCTAATTCCCTGTCATATCAGCTCTGCAAATACTTACTGAGCATGTTTAACATCTGCTATGTACAATGCACTGCCTCAATTAATTACCAGATTACTGAGTAATTGATGTTCCTACAGCAACCCTCAGATGATTCACCCTTTTCCTTCCTTACTCCCCTTATAATTCATCTGCTTTTTGTACCCATTTGCCAAATGCACTCTCTCCCCGATCTCAAATGGCCTTACATGACTTTAAAACTTGAAATTTTCTTTTTGAGGAGGTTTGGGCCACACTCAGTGGTGCTTAGGACTTATCCCTGGCTCTGTGCTCAGGAATCATTCCTGGCAGTACTCAAGGGACCATGTGCTGGGAATCGAACCAAGATCAACCACATGCAAGGCAATTGCTAAACCCCTGTACTCTCTTCACTTAAAGACATTTTCATCATGTTACTCGGGTTAACTCTTCAGAGACACTCTAACATTGGCCCACTACACATTCCATATGCACAATCTCACTTCCACAATTCTGTATGAGCCCTGATCGCCAATGAAAGGAATCTCATGAAGTTCTCCCATATTCTGAGTCATATTCTATGTCCACACCTTTTTTTGTGGGGGGGAGGAGCGGTAGCCACACCAGGTGGTGCTCAGGGTTTGCTCCTGGCTCTGCACTCAAGAATTACTCCTGGAAGTGCCAGGGATAAAACCTGGATCAGCTGCATGCAAAGCAAATGCCCTACCTGCTGTAAAATGGCTCCAGTACCCCTACAAATTTTCTGTTTTGTTTTGGGGCCACACCCCAGAACAAAAGGCAATGCCCGGGGCTTACTACCAGTTCTGTGCTCAGGGATCTTTCTTGGCAGGCTCAGGGGACCAATGGGATGCCAGGGATTGAACCCGAGTCAGCAGCATGCAAAGCAAATGCCCTACTCTTTGTACTATTGCTATGGCCCCTACTTTCACACTTTTGCCTATGTCCTGCCTCTGCTAGCCATGGTACTTTCCTCTTCCCTGCCATTCTTCCCCAAGCATCCAGACCTTGCATAAGTCCTACCTCTCCCCACACTGTGCCCAGCCTACTTGCTTATAGTCACGATACCACGTATCTGGTCTGCCCTTTACTGTAATACCTGTGCATATGACCTGCACTCTCTGTGTATGTGTGGCTGAGAAGCCAGACCTCACAGGAGAACCAGCAATCATCTTCCCGCCCCCCCCCCCCCCGCCCCCGAAGCAAGGGGAGAAACAACTACTCTGGTAGGGCTTTAGAAATATTTGCTAGGGGCTGGAGAGTCAGTACAGAGATTTGCATTGCTTGCTGCCAACCTGGGCTCAATTCCTAGCACTGTATATAGTGATTCCTCTGTGCAGAGCCACTGCCAGGAGTGATTCTTGAGTGCAGAGCTAGGAGTGAGTCCTGCACACTGCCAAGTGTGGTCCCCAAAATAAAATGAAAAATCCTTGCCGGGGTGGGGGATAGAGAGCTAGTACAGGGGTTAAACCAGTTGCCTTGCATGCGGTCAACTTCATTTAGAATCCCTGGCACTGCCATGGCCTCTCCTCAGCACTGCCAGGGGCCACTCTTGAGCACTGTTAGGTGTGACCCCTTGCCCCCCCAAAAACTCCTTGCTGAGGCAGGGGAGGAGTTCAGCACCTGGGGACCTCAAGAGAGGCACAGTTGGGGCTGGAGGAATAGCACAGCAGATAGGGCATTTGCCTTGCACGCAGCCAACCCGGGTTCGATTCCCAGCATCCCATATGGTCCCCTGAGCACCGCCAGGAGTAATTCCTGAGAGCATGAGCCAGGAATAACCCCCGTGCATTGCCGGGTATAACCCAAAAAGAAAAAAAAAAAGACACACACACACACACACACACACACACACTTGCCCCAGCCCCAGACAGTCATCTCTCTCCCTCACCATGGCAGCAGCGATCTCTTCTGGGCTGTCCCCATCGAGATCGAACCGGAAGGTCACCATCTTGCTGTTGTGCGTCTGCAGCTGGCACTCAACCACTCTGTCGCTCTGGTCTGAGACCTACGGATTCAGGCAGGGGAAGGAAGGAGTCGGACCCTCGATGCTCACAGCATGTCCGTACTCCAAGCTTCGAGGCAAACTGGAGGGCAGAGGACACTGCCCCAGTCTGATCTGAAAAACCATGCTGCCCCTCCTCTCTCTGGCTGGCCCCCACCCCCAGTTCCCTCCTGGCCCCAGAGGCAGGCCCCCATCTCCTCCCCCCTTTCCTTACACTAGTGACCCTCAGCCGGGAGCGGGGTCGGCGCCGGAGGTTTCTCCCCAGCGGCTTCTTCATGCGGCACATGGTCCCTTCACCCACATCACTGAGGCCCGATGCTACATCGGAGGCATAGCTGGGAGAGGGAGACAGAGAGGGAACCTCAGACGCTGGCACCCGGAAGCTTCGTGTATCTCACCCCCGGTACCCTAACTCAATTCCAACCTACCTGTCTCCAGGGGGGAAGTCACTGCCAGGCCCAGCACGAGGAATTGAGAGGGCAAATGCCTGAAACAGGATCGGGGGTTCATATAGTGAGAAGCGGGGGGGTGACAGAGATCCAGGGAATGGCAGGGGGTGCTGGGGGGATTCCGGAGAAGGTACGACGGAAGGTGGGGACAAGCATGGTGACTCAGGCACAAGAGTTGGGTTTCATAGGAAGAGAGATGGGAGTGGCTGGGGGTGTCCCGACATGACCCATCTCACCGAGGGCAGGCGGAGATGGGGCTCGGCGGGGCTGGATGGTACCCCCCGAAGGGGCTGGAGGGCAGGGTCAGAGGCATCCAGGAAGCCTGAGGAGCTGAGGTAGCCATCAGTCTCGCAATCCGCTGGGAGGGAAGGGAGGCATCAAAAGAGGGGGAATGAAGCAGGGAGGGCACAGGAGGGACAGCCAAAGCAAAGGGGGACCTAGTGCTGGGGCTGGGGACCTGCCTGGATGTGGCCTGCAGGGTAAGTGGCAGTGTTGCTGGATGAGACAGGCGGGGGGAGGGCGGGCAGAGGGTCCCCCGGGCAGAACTGACTCACAGGTGGTCGATGAGTAGCTGGCATGACGGAAGAGGAAGGGCTGATGCTGGTCTGCCTCTGGTTCCTCAGACTCTGGGGAGAAGATGCTGCGGGGACCAGGGGTCAGGGGGCCAGTGGCAGGAGGGGGCCCCGGCACTGGGGGGAGAGCCTCCAGCTCCCTGGCTTTTCGCAGCTTCTCACGCTTCCGCTGGATGGCAGCGACCCGTTCCCGCACTGCGCGGGCCACTGGCTGGTAATCGGCTTCACAGACTAAGCCCAGGGCCACCTGGAATTGGAAGGGTAAAGATATATTATTTGGAACACACACACACACACACACACACACACACACACACACACACACACATCAAGGCTCATGGGGACCCAGAGGCCTTCAGGATAGAAGATGATGAGAACCAATGTCTAGTCATTACCCATTGAGTCCCTGAACTGGTCACCCTTTACATTATCCTCATTTCATAGATCTTATCAGCCCCACATCAGAAATGAGTCACAATCACGGCCAGGTCAGGCAGCCAGCAAATGGGTCACTCTGGCGGGAGGGCCCTTTGGCAATATCTGGAGACATTTTTAGTTGCCACAACAGGGCACCATGTACTGAGTATAGGCCAGGGATTCTTCACAAATCTCACAATACACAAGGACTGCACCCTCACCACCCCCACACACACACCACCACCACCCAAAAGAAAAAGGTGTCAGGGTATCCGCTCAAGGTCAGAAAGCCCAGTAAGTGATGTGCTGGGTCAGGACAATGCTCATATCATGGCTCAAACATCCTCACACTCAGGGCCAAGACCCACCCCAGAATATTCCCCACCTTATCAAATGCCCTTCTTTTGTTTTGAAACTCACTCTCTCTCCCCACCCCATTTTCAGGCCTTCCTAAACAGGCCTCTCCCCGATGTCTTCCTCCCAGGTATCCTGACCTAGTTCACCCCTTCTGCTCCTCTCTTTACTCATTTCCATGATCAGCTCTGCAGGGTAAGGAGGACCAAACTGAGTTTAAACCTAGCTTACTTGCTTAGGACCTGGGATAAGACCATTAACTTCTGCTTATTTTTGGGTCACACCTGGCAGTGCACAGGGGTTACTCCTGGCTCATACACTCAGGAATTAGTTCTGGCAGTGCTCGGAGGACCATATGGGATGCTGGGAATTGAACCTGGATGGGCCGCGTGCAAGGCAAACGTCCTACCCATTGTGCCATAGTCCCAGCCCCAAGACCATGAACTTCTGAACTTTCATTTCCACTTTAGTAACAGGACAGAATCCTTCCATTCAGGGTCAGTAACAATGATCACAAGCATATGAAAATCACATGCATTCCTTTTCTTTTTGGGGGAAGTACCAAAGCGCTGCTGAGCGGGCCCAGAGGCCCCTCCTTGCCCACTGGGTGGGTGGGTGGGTGGTTCAATGAGAGGGGCTGAGTGAGGATGTGGTGCTAGAAGGTTCTTCACAGATTAAATGCTGCTCTGTCAGGGGTTACCCAGCATACCCAAGGAACCCTCAGGGCTGCTTCAAGCAATGCTTGGGAGACTGTGCAGTTCTGGGAATTGAATTGGGGTTGGCTGCATGTAAGGCATGAGTCTTAACCTCTGAACTATCTCTCTGGTCCCATTTTTTTAATTTTCTGTTTCTTTCTTTCTTTTTTTTCTGTTGGGGTCACCAGAACCACAGCTAGCATGCCAGGGATTGAACTTGGGGGCTCTTGAATGCAAGACCAGAGCTTGAGCCCTTTGGGCTATCTCCCTGGCCCCAAATAAGGTACATTCCAAGTTCCTACCATGTGACATAAAAGTAATAAAACTGTCGATGAGTCAGTGATCTAGATGGAGGGAAAGAGGAAAGCAACCTGGCATAAAGCAAGAGGGGGAGGGCAGTGGGTCTTGCCACAGAGGCTCTGCTGACATGGTGAAACAGGACAAGATTCTTGGAATGCATGGGCCTGAGTATGGAAGAAGAAAAAAGGGAAGGGCTGGAGCAATATTACAGCGGGTAAGGCGTTTGCCTTGCACATGGCCGACCCAGGTTCGATCCCCGGCATTCCATAAGGTCTCCCCAACCCACCCCCCACACCCAGAACCACCAGGAGTAATTCCTGAGTGCAGAGTCAGGAGTAACCCCTGAGCATCGCTGAGTGTGACCCCCCCCAAAAAAAAAGAGGGGAAAAAAGAGGAACAGGGAAATGAAACATCAACAAACAAGTGAAAATCTTCAGGAACATGGAGATCAAATAAAGTAGGAAGGTTGGAGGTGCAGGGCTGTGGAAATGTCCAACTGTAGGGTTGGGGTGCAGGTAGATTCATGCAGGAGGTGGCAGGGGAGGGGAGGGTCAGGCCCCTCTCCCCCCACCCCAGCACATCAGCCCACCCCCTTCGCCCTGACCCTTCTGGCTGATCCCCACAGGCCCAGTGTGTCCTCCGCTCACCATTTCCTGCGCCACCTCCTCAGCCGCGTCCCGGCCCAGCTGGAACAGGAACTCGATGGCCTGGTTATCCCGTGGGCGCCCCCCACGCCGCGCGTCCTCCATGCGCAGCCAGAGCTTGAGGCCCGGCTTCTGGCCATCATCCTCCTCGGCCAGCTCCACGTGCACGCCGCGCTCCTCGCGGAAGAAGGCATGGGCCAGCAGATCCTGGATGGTGAACCTGAGCACCGAGGCCAGGCTGTAAGCCCCGACTCTGCAGCAGCCGCCGCCGGGGTCCCGCCTTGCCCCCCCCCCCCCACCAGAGGACCCCACCTCTCGTTCTTATCCGTGCGGATGCAGCCTTCGATGATCTCCTTCACCTCGGGCATCTTCACCTTGTAGAAGCTGTTGGGCTTTGTGCCCTGCGGGAGGAGACAGGCGCTGAGGCTGGTGTGCCCCGGGGTCTCGGCACCCCCCACCACCCTGCTCCCCACCAGAGGCTGAACGCTTGCAGAAGCAAAAGTCCCGCGACGACTGCTGGGAGATTTCCTTTCAATTTCCCAGCCCCCAGACCCCCCGCGTATGCTCAAATAACCTGGCACAAATCTGCAGAAGAGGCCTGAATCATAGTATACAGGGTAGGACGTTTGCCTTGCACGTGGTCGACCCGGGTTCGATTCCCAGCACCCCAATTATCCCTTGAGCCCTTGTTCCTCAGCGCAGGGCCCTGAGTACCGCGGGGTGTGACCTAAACCGCCCCCGCACCAAATTAAGACCTTTTCCCCTTTTCCTCTGCCTTTGCCGCCCGCCCGGCCACAGGATAGACAGGGTGTGAAGCCGTTTGTAGACTCGAGGGGGCGCTGCACACGCTATTATCCCCATGGAGTGGGCGTGTGTCAATCGCCGCGGCTCCGTGCTCCCCGTGTCCCTCCCGGGAAAGGGCACCGATCGCGGCCGGTTGGGGCAGGAGAACGCCAGGGGTGGGGGCGCCCAGAACTGCCTCTGCTGCCCGCCCCGTCTCACCGAGGTGACCTTGCGATAGATCTGCGCCGCGTTCTGACACTCGGAGTAAGGGTACTCGGAGGTGGCCATCTCCAGCATGCACATGCCGAACGCGTACACGTCCACAGCCTCGTCGTACTTCTCCTCGTACATCTCCGGGGCCATGAACTCCGGGGTCCCTGGGGGTGGGGGGCGCACCGCGGGCATCAGGCGACCGTGCCTCCCTGCTTAGCATGGTCCAAGGGCTGGGGGTATGAGTGGGGAGGGGCCTGGCATCCTGTATCCCAAGCCAAATCCTAGGTATGTGGGGTCGGGAGAGGGCACCGCCAAGGGGGAGTCGGAAGAGCAGGGAGCCCCCCTGAGGGGGCTCACCGATGACGCTCTTGGCGAAGGAGGCGCGCTTGAGCGTGGCCAGGCCCAGGTCCCCGATCTTCACCGAGCCCGAGGGGCCTGTGATGAAGACGTTGTCGCACTTGAGATCCCGGTGCAGGATGGGGGGGACTCGGGAGTGGAGGAAGTGAAGTCCCCGCAGGATCTGGCGGCTCCAGCGCTGAAGGACGCGGGGCTTCATCTCCCGGAAGCGCCTCAGGTACCTGCGGGGAGGACGCCAGACCAGGGGTCGGGCGCCTGGGCCAGGACCCCCCCCCACCCCGAACCTGACCCGCCCCGCCCCGCCGCGCCCCGCAATCCGGGAAGAAACTGAGTCAGAGGTGTGGTAGGCAAGCAGGTTACTAAATGGGTCGATGCTAAAGTCGCTGATAGGGCAGTGGCCGGGGTGCCGAGGGAGCTCGGGGAGGATGAGTAACTGCCCGCGAGTGGAGAGGGCGTCCCGGAGGAAATAACTCTGGAGTTGCGTCTTGAAGGTTGCGAAGGGGGAAGGGATGGAGACTTTCCAGGCAGACAAGACAAGTCGTGGTGCCCCAAGGCACAGAGGCGGCCAGCCGCAGGGCAGGTTGGAGGAGGGGCTGGGAACTAACTCAATCCGACGGGAATTTAGGCTGAAGATAAGGCTGGATTAACGAGTGTAGACTTTACTCCGAGGGCCTGGGAAGCCTTGGAGGGGCTTTAAGGAGAATCTTGGGTGATGGGGAGAGACTCCCCAGGGTCCCCCCCACCCAAGGAGAAAGGAAGTTTGCAGTGAGGAGGAAGAGCGTGTAGAGGGATCTCCAGACCAGTGAGGTGGGGGAACTTGAATGCCCATCCCAGAGACAGACACAGGGGGAAGTTGCAGGGTGGGGAGAGAAGAGGCAGCTGGAGAAACGCCCAAGTCTGAGCCCCAGTGAGGGTGCAAGGCAGAGGCACAGTCACGGATGGGTGAAGAGGAACCCCAACTGTGAATCTGGATGGAGTTTTGGGAGCCCCAGAGCAGCTCTGGCAACAGCGGGGAGCTCCTGCCTGCAGCACCCCCTCCTCCCATCCCCAAGCCACCGAGCTCACGTCTTGAGTGTGCCGGAGGTCATGAGTTCGGTGACCAGCACGATGCAAACCTGTCCCCTGAGCACTGACTTCCATGAGTCATAGAAGCGGACGATGTTGGGGTGCTGCAACCCCTTGAGCATCTCCACCTCCTCGGAGAATCTCTGCCGCTCTGCTCGAGACAGTTTCCGAGTCTGGAGGGAAGGGGACAGGGGTCACCTTAGGCTCAGCACCCCCATCCCCATGAAGAAGAGGATGGGACGATGGGGACAAGGCTGGAAGGAGGCGGGGGACTGAAGCAGATGGACAGGGCTGGGTCGGGGGACCTGCTTGCCCAACCATTTAAACCCTTAACTCCTGCCGACTCCTCACGTTGATCCAAAGACTCGCCCATCCTGGACCTAGGGCCACCGCCTAGACCCCCCTGCAGGACACAAGCGCCTTTATGGAGCCAGGTCCGGAGCCCTGAGCTCAATAGCGCCTTTGTGGCCGCCGGCGGGCCAGCCGTGCGGTGGGAGGGGACGCCCGGGTGCTGGCAGCGGGCAGGCAGCAGGCGGACAGTGGATGGTTGGCGGGGAGAGAATTGGGGCCAACAGGGGGTTTGGCCTCAGAACCGGGGAACTGCTAGATCCAGACAGGCGGATGGAGGGCTACAGAGGGAAGCAGAGAAAGGATCCAGGACCAGACGCCAGGAGACTGCCCCCAGTCTCACAGCTGGCCCGCCCGGCTGGTCTCCCTCCTCCCCTACCCCCTTTGGCTGCTTCTCCTAGTCTGGCTTAGAGCCTGGGTGCAGTACTGGCAGGCGCAAAGGATGGGTCCAGTGCCAGGGCGCCAGCGGGAGACCCTTCCCCCAGACTCCACCCCAAACTCTCAAGCAGAAGCTCTCGACCCAACTTAACTGGGTTCCCCACCTTGGAGGACGAACCTGCATCCTTCCAGCATCCCCTAAAGCATCCTGAAAGGGGGAGGAGCCCAGGTAGGCAGCGGGGCTGGTGCCATCTCCCCCCTCCCCCAGCATGAAGTCCAGAAGTCTGTGAGCTCCAGAAGAGACTTGGGGAGTTATCCTGCCACAACTGCCTGAAATCTTTTGGAGTAGAGGTCCCTCTCTCCAGCCTCATAATCAGCAGAGATCCCGGGTGAAGGGGCAGGAGGGCCAGTTGAGGGTCTCAGGGCTTAGGGAAAAGCAAGTGGAAGTGATCGTGGGTAATCACTGAAGGGAAGTGTGAGGCCTGGACCCCTCCCGTCCAAACTGGCCCCTGCCCAAGTCTTTATCCTATTTTCCAGCTCTCAGTCTCTCTGGAGACTAGAAGGGAGAACGCTGAAACCCACAGTGGCGCCACCACACACCACCTGCCTCAGTTTCTCCTACAGTCCAGAATCAGGCAAATCTATAGATCATCAGAGAAAGGGGGAGGGTAGAAGAGAGGTGTCTCAGCATTTGAACGGAAATAAATCTCCCTCCCTCGCAGGTGTCCCCTGGTCACCCAGCCCAAGACCTCCTACGGTCCCGTCCCGAGGCGTCACCTAGGGGGCGCGCAGCCGCACCTGCAGCTCACACCAGGCCACCTCCACCGTGGTGTCGGTGTCCAGCCCTCGATACACCGTCTTGAACGAGCCACGTCCAATCTCGATGTCAAACTTGAGGTATCGGCCATCTGGGGACGTGGCGACCGCCTGCGTTTCTGTGTCCTCCTTCTCCTCCTGCTCCCGCTGCCGCTCCCTGGCCGCGGCTTCCGAGACCCTCGGCGCTTCCCGGGCGCCCGAGACTCCGGCCGGGCCCGAGAGCTCGGCGCGCGGGGACTCCGCAGCCTTCCCCGGGGCTCCCCCGGGCCACTTGCCCTCGGGGGGCTCTTCGGAGCTGGGCGGGGGGCTCTTCGCGGCGCCGGGACCAGGGGCGTCCGGGGGGTCGGGGGGCTCCGGGACGGGCGACACCGGCTGCGACCACGAGCTCAGCAGCCCCAGGTCGACCGAGCTGCGGCGGCCGGGACGGGAAGCCCGCGGCCGGGGCTCAGCCTTCCCGGAGAAGCGGCGCACCCGGCGAGGCGGGGGCCCGAGGCGGGGCGGCCCGGCGGCCGCGAGGGCCAGCGGGGGCCGCAGGGCCAGGTCGGCCTCTGCCTGGGAGCGAGGGGCCGCGGCGTCTGGGGCCGGGGGCGCCAGCATGAGGCAGGACGGGGAGCCGGGCGGCCTGACGGGCGGACGGACTGGCTGGGTGCGCCGCGCGCCGGCTGAGCGACTGGGGCCCCAGTCCCCGGCCCGGCCCCGCCCCCGGCCCCGCCCCCGCAAACCCCCGCCCTGACCCCCCGGGGCCGCCCCCTCGGAGCGCGAGCTGGGTCCCGGAGCGGGTGCGCAGACCCTCGCCTCCACCCCGCCCTCCGGCCCCCCGCCCGCAGCTGTCACTCCCGGGGGCTGGAGCTGGGGCGAGCCGCACTGGGTCCCCTTGCACGAGTGCGCACACCCGTTTTTGCGCGCCGAGGGGGGCGCTGCTGCCCGAGGCGGGGACGGGGACGGAGGGGGGGGGCGCCAGGCCCCCACAAAGGGGGGCGTTGCGAAGGGGGTGGCTACCACCCGCCTGCACGCCCCAGATAAGGTAGCGCCACCCCTTCCTAACCGTGCGGAGTAGCCCCAGGCCGCGGCTGCCGCGGTCAATGGAAAAGTCTGGTTTTCTCCCTCCTGGCGCTGGGAGCCGTGTGCACCCAAGGACGAGCCTCCCCCCAACCAGGGCCCCAGTCACCCACTCCCTCCACCCCTCCACCTTGACCACAGCCTGCCTGGCTGGAGTGGCTGTTTTTGCTCCATGGCTCTCCTCCCTCCGCCTTCTATTTGCCAAAGTTCCCAATAAACCAAAGTCCGCATCCGGTTTACTCCCCCTCAGCTCCCCTCAGCCTCACTACCCCACCCGAGCCAGATGGGGGGTGGAAGGGGTTTCAGTGCAGTTTAGGGCTTTCTGGGCCACTGGAGGTGAGCAGTCCAGGACGCCAGTTCCCAGGCAGAAAGCAATCCGTCTCCCACGCTGTGTTCCCTGGCTTCCGCAGCTCGCAGCTCGGCAGTAGGGCCCACCAGGCGCAAGTAGAACCGGCCACTGGCCAGCAGAGACCACCAGGAGGCTGGGCCCGTCCCGCCCACTCTCGCCAGGATTCACTGGAGGTCCCCACCTCCGCACAGCCCTCCCAGGAGTCAATTCAGAGGCAGGTTGTAGGGTTGAACTTTTTAATATCATCAATCAGTGTCGGCCCGCCCCTTCTGGGCTTTTTATCTTCCTATTGCCTGGAAGGCTGCCTGCAGCCGGGGCTTTCCCCCATCCCCTAGGAAGGATCCAGCACCAGCCTGAGAGGGGAGGCAACAGCAGCTAAGGGGGTGGGAGAGGGAAGAGACAGACGTTTGAGCAGGCGTGCGTGTGTGTGCATGTTAAGTGCTGGGTTTACAGATCTTGGTTCAGGGTCGACTTCGGCAAGAGTAGAGGTGGGGCAAGGAGAAGCCCATCTCTTCTGACACCTCAGCCTCACCCAGTCCACGGACCAACGCAGGTAAGCAGGAGACCCAGCCCTGGACGGGAGCCCTTTCGAGTCTGGTGGAGTCCCAGGTCCAGCCGGTAGGATCGCTGGGTCTATCTCCATTGGAAAGCCCTGGAAGGGTGGGAGGTAAGAAGCAACGGCAGAGATGGGTCTCTGCTAGAAGAACTTGACGCCTCGGCCATCGCTGACCGTGATGATCTCCGCCTTGTGATCCTGCTGTAGGGCCTGGAGAGCCCGCAGGAGGGTGGCCTCATCCAGCCCATGGAACTCTGGACAAGGAAAGATGGGCAGTCAGGGACTCTCGGTCCATGGCACCCCGGGCCTCTAGGGACTGCCGTCCAGCAGGAAGTGGAGCTTTCACAAGGCCCGGCTGGGGGTAGAGATAGGGGGACCCTGACAATCAGGCCTAGGACGGTCAATGTCTTGGTCACCCACATCCGAGTTGCAGACCTAAACCCAGCAGGGCGAGCCCCAATAGCGTAACTCCTCTGGCCAGGAGGCACAGGGCCGAGGCCGGGAACACACAGCACATCCGTTCCTTCCTAGCTAAAGCAACAGGTTGGAAACTAAGGGTTAGCAAGATACTACCGGGAGATGTGAGAGGCAGGAGGCAAGCTCCAACAAGCCACACGCCTCAGCCGCTGCGGGGGCCTAGCTCCAGAGTCGGGAGCTGGCTTTCTGAAGCAGCCTCCAGCTTTGCCCAGCCTGAGTGGTGGTGGGCTGGGCAAGGCCGCCGCGCTGAAGTCATGAAGCGATGGTGGGAGTAGCAAGCAGAGGCCTGCAGGGCAGGGGGGAACGGCCAGGCGAGAGCTGTGAACTCTGTGGAGGAAAGGGAGTCACCTCTTCTCCCCCAGTTAAGACTAGAACTTTTGGTGATCCTGGGGATAAGAATCTGAAGTCAGAGACAAAAGAGCTAAGAGGGTATTTACACTATAGAAAGACCAAAGCGGATACAAATCCTTGCCTGGCCAGAAACCAAAGTATTTAAAAGGGCTGGGAATGGAGATGGGGATGTTGGCCCGATACCTTCAGCTGACACCCTCAAATCTTGAGCTCTTTATAAGAATAAAGGGTGAAAGAAAGCCTGAGTCAGCAAGGAATGAGATTTCAGGCTTAATCCCCTGCCCTGGTTCCTCATTCAGCATCTATACCAGTTAATTCTTCACTCTACATAGGTCACAACAGCTCACGAAAATCTCTAATACGGGCTCTGTCCCTAAAAACACCCCCATACCAACAAAATTTGGGGGGCCTTCTGCATTTGACATTGGGTACTTTCTCAGCGCCTCGGATGGGGTAAAGATCTTAGTACTCTGTACAACTTGGAATTTAGAAGCAGAGAAGCGGGGAGTCAGAATTAACTGAATTAGAATTAGAGGATTCAGACTGAGAAAACTAGAGGAAAGGGAAAGCCATTACCCTCCTCCTCTGTGTCTTCCCCGTTGGTCAATTCATACAGCGTGAACACCGAGTTGTTCTGGCCACTCTTGGAAACCTATGGACGCAGGAAAACGGGGTTTGAGTTAGGCCCAGGACTCGTGGGAAGAGGCCGACTGCGCTGCTCCACCATCGTGATGCAGGAAAGGACCCGTGCTGAAACCAGGGCTCACTGCCCCAGTGCAGAGGAGTGGCCCAGAAGCCACAAACCCTCCTGCTGCTAAATTTATATGCGGACACACACACACTCAGAGCCGCTGGCTTTTCCGTGTCTGAGCTCTGAGTTACCCCTTCTTCTGGTTGTTTTCCTCTTCAGGAGTGGATGGTGCATGCTGGTTATATTTGGGTTGTTGATCCTTCTTCCCTTCCTTGCTCCCTCCCTCCCTGGCGGTGGCTGGGAATTTGGGGGAGTGCTAATCCCCACACCCACACTGGTTCAGAATGTCTCATTCATGTTGAGAACAGCTCCAGGAAGGTGCAGTGGGAGAAGGGCCGCAGGGCTTCTTTCTTTCCCTTCCTTTCCCCATTTATCTTCTGTGGCCAGAGGCTCCAGCCAACAACAGTACTCAAGGTTTCCAATACAGCCTTCTCCAAACATGGCCTCACCTAGCCTCTGGTGTTTACAGGCAAAGAAAGGGGAGTTCTATGCCCCTTCCTCCCACTCGGCTGGGCCTGGAGCTTCAAACTCCAGGTCTACGCTGAGCAGAGATACAATTCCGTTTGCCATGGGTTAATACAGCAAAAATGGTCTCACCCATTGATAGATGAGTTTCCCCCATTCTTCTGGCCTCCTCCACATGATCAGGAAACTAGACTTGTTCTTGTCCAACCACTCGAGGTTTCCTGTAAAATAGATACTTATGAAAGCATCACGTTCTAAAAGGGACAAAGAAGCAAAACCCAAGGTGGAAGAGAGCGAGAGATTCAGCTCTCAGAATGAGATAGTCAAGATTTGTTTTGATATTGCTACTGGCAAATCACCCTTATACTTATAAGGTCTCTCTCTTTAGAGAAAAGATGTTTCAGTTTTGTATACAAAATTGGGAGAAAGGACCTCAGGATTGGGTTGTTTACTGTACAAAACACTCTGGTTCCAGCCCCCGTCAGGAGGGAGGAAAGCAAAATTTCATTAAAGAGGCCAGGAGGCAACTCCAAGGGCTAACTGTGGGCTTTGCGTGCCAGATGCCTGGGTTTGATTTCCGCCACCTCAGGGCCCCCCAAGAACACCCCAGGAATGACACCTGAGCAACATGCTGGGAGTAGCCCCTGATTACCACTGGGTGTGGCCCAAAAAAGAAAAAAGGAAGGGGAAAAAAAAAAAGAAAAGACCTGGGTGCGGGAGATAGCTCAGCAGTCAGGAGCTAAAAGTTTGCATGCATCAGAAACCCAACTTCAAACCTTAGCGTGTCATGTTCCCAAGCTTCACATCCTGGGCCTAGCTGGTTGGCCAAGTTCGCCAGAAGAGGCCCCAAATCCCCTGACCACTCTTTTGGAGCACCCTTCTCTCCCACCCCATCCCCAAAAGGGAGGTAGGGAGACATGTACTCAATTATCCTCAGGGAAACCCAAGTGGAAGGGGAAGAAAAGAGAGAAGAACCCACCTTTTTTTCTGAGTTCCTCTAATACAATCTGGATTGATTCCATTGGGAGTTTCCCTGGTGTAAGGTTAAGGGGATGGCTTTAATGGAATGAACTGGATGGGATAAAAATTCTCAGAGCTATGGGGCTGGAGAGATAGTACAGTGAGTAGGGCGATTGTCCAGTCCTGCTGACTTAGGTTGGATCTCCAACATCCCCTATAATCCCCCATGCACCACAATGAGAAATTCCCTGAGTGTGGAGCCCTGAACACGGCCAGGTGTGGCCCCAAAACAACAAAAAATTCTCCGAGCTAGTCTTATTCTGAGAGCCATCTGTCTTCCTTCACCTCTCCCCTAATGTGTGCCATTGAGAAGGGAGAGAGAAACTGATGGGATTAGAGGTTTAGAAAATGAAAGAAAATGCAACCCTCACCCTGGGATCTCGACTCCTTCCTTCAGCCTTGAGATATTTTAGGTATGAATCAGGCAGGGCAAACACCTGACCCTTACTTCCTGGCAGGAGGGGAGTAGGCGGGCAAAATTACCAGAGGTAGGAGCAAGGTCTGAGCTCACCTAGGCTGGGAGACTTGGATAGTCAAAAGAGCTGAGGCTGAAAAAGGCTTGAGAATTTTGCTTCAGGGCAGAGATTCTAAGACGTGACGCGCCCCTGGATACTCGTCACTCCCTAGAACCAGTGGGACGGCGTGGGGGGGGCTCCACATTGGACCGGGGGTGCCGGGTAAAGCGGACGTCGGTGACACACACTTGCTCTTGCCCACGTCATGTGTGTGTGCGTGCACGTCCGCGTGGGCCAGTGGGAGAGCCCAAGGAGGCAGTGCCCACGTCCTGTGTGTGTGTGTGTGTGTGCGTGCACGCGCGCGTGGGGGCAGCGGCAGAGCCCCAGGAGGCAGGATACGTTGCAGCTTGACGTTGTTGAAGAGCGGACTCTCCTGCGCTTCCATCACCGTCATGCTGGACTGTTTGTGCAGGCGGCAGAACGACAGGACCAGCGAGCACCAGGCGGCCAGCTGCTTCTGCCGAGTGTCCACGTTGGGCTGCAACCTGCCGGGCGAAGGGGGCGGGGCGCAGAGTTAGCTGGCCGGAGGGGGCGAGGGGCACGTCGGGGCACCGGATGCGGGAACCTTCTCCCCCACCCCAGGAGAAGCAGCGGGGCTGCGCCCGGGGTCCCGGGGAGGGGGAAAGAGAGGCACAGCGGGGCTTCCCGGGGGCTGAGCCTCACGTAAAGAAGGGCGGGAAGCGATACTGCCACGGCCACTCGAAACTCATCGCCATCGTAGTAGCCCAGGAAACCCGGAACCTCCCGGCCAGGGACTTCCGGTCTCCGCGCCTGCGCGTCCGGGCGGGAGGCGCCGCACAAAAGTTCCGGACGCCTGTCCGCGCGGCTGGCCCGGCTCGGCTTGCGGGAGCTTTCCTCTCCCGGGTTCCTAACTATTCTCTGAAAATCTCTCCAGCCTGGGCACAAAGGGCCCGTCTTCCGAGTCCATCTCAGACAAGGAGCAGAATTGGCCCTAAGCGGCACCGTTTTTTAGGAAACAGAAAGGACTCGGCTCTGCAGCACCCAGCCTCGGCGTGTTTCCCGCTTAAATTGGCTTTTGTTTGGTTTCGTTGAGTGTTTTTTCTTTTCTTTTTTTTTTTGGGGGGGGGGGGCACTCCCGGCATTGTTCAGGGCTTTCTCCTGCCTCTGTGCTCGGGGATCACTCCTGGGGGTGCTCAGAATTTATGGGTGGTGCCGGGCTCAGCTTCGAGCAAGGCAAGAATCTTTTGGACCGCATTTTCAATGACTTCGAACCCAGGACCCCTCATGTGCAAGGCTTGTGCTCTGCGACTGAGCAACACCTCCAGCCCCGATGCGGCTTCTTTTCATAGCAGCAGTCCTGAACGTTGCCTCTTAAACCTAATGTCTCCCAATTCCCCGGTCTCAATTCCTATACTGGTCACTGAATACCTCCTTCCTTCTCCACCACCCCTCAGTTCTGGGGAGTGTTCCTAGTGATGTACACAGAGTACCTTAGCCAAGCCCCAGGTTCACTTACTAACCTCACCGCGTGGCTCTTTGTGACCCTTTGTTATTTATTGACTCCATGTCACATCCCTCAGGGTAATTTGTCACACTCATCAGGCGATCCCACGTGTTGTCGCCCTCACCCCACCCCACCCCTGCCCCACAGAATGCCTTTTCCTTCTGTTTGAGAAGATTGAGTCACCGCGTGAACCTCTTCATCCTTCCCTGTCACCACACTTGATTGATCCCTCCAAATTCCTTCTGCACTTTTACGCTTTCCTTCTGGATTCAAAAATGTCACTTTTCCTTTACAATGCCAGTCCTTTGACTAATCTTCTTGCCTCTCCTCTCTGACTTTGCCAGGACTGACTTCTCTGAATATCCTTTTCATTTTCCCTCTTCATCTTTTCTCTGGCTCCTTCTTTAACACTACACACAGGCTTATGTCATCCCTACTTAAAATGCGGAAAGCTCAGCCTTCATTGTGCAGAGTTCTTGGTCACCCAGTGCCCAAGAAAATTTGTTGAATGGCTGGATAATTGAATTGATAATGTTGTCTCAAATCTTTGCCTCCATGACACTGCTTTATCTTTGTTCTGCTTCTCTCTCTCTCTCTCTCTCTCTCTCTCTCTCTCTCTCTCTCTCATCTTTAAGGATACAACCTCATTCCCCCCCCCCTTTTTTTTTTTGCCATACTCAGTGATGCTCAGCACTGACTCCTGTCTCTGTGCTCAGGGATCATTCCTTGCAGGAATCAGAGCACTGTATGTCTGCTGGGGATTGGAGCTGGGTCAATTTCATGCAAAGCAAGTGTACTAGCCCTCATGGCTTCATGTGCCATTTCTGTTCAGAAGATTCCTAAACCTGTATTTCTATCTCCAGCCTCTTCCCAGTAAGACTTCCTTTTTTCTCTATGGAACATAATGGTTTGTTCCATAGACCCTCTCCTTGTACATATTTTTCTTCATGCCAGCTTCTTGTGGCTCTCTCTCTCTCTCTCTCTCTCTCTCTCTCTCTCTCTCTCTTTTTCTTGCGGGAAGGGAACACAACTGGAGGTGTGCTCAGGGCTTACTCCTGGCTCTGCTCTCAAGAATCACTCATGAAGGGCTTGGGGGACCATATGTGGTGCCAGGGATCGAACTGTGGTCAGCAGCGTGCAAGGCAAGCACCCTACCCACTGTACTATTGCTCTGGCTCCTCATGGCTCTTTTCTATTCCCACTTTACTTCCATCACTGTCCTAGTAACAAGAGGCTTAAAGACTGCTCATCCCTTATCTCTCCTCTACCTCACTTCTTTCATATTTAAAGTCCTGACAGCTCCCTGCCCTAGGTTTGCTGTTGCTTTGTTTTGGTTACTTGGTTTGTTGGTTTGGTTTGAGGGCAATGTCCAGTGGTGCTTAGTGATCATTTCCAGGAGTCCTTGGAGGGCCATGCAATGCTAGGGACAGAACCCAGTCCTCCTGCTTACAAAGCATGTGTTCTGGGGCCAGAGTCATAGTACAGTGGGTAAGGAGCTTGGCTTGCACGTAGCCAACCCTGGTTCGAGCCCCAGCACCCCATATGCTTCCCCAAGCCCTGCCAGCAATGATCCCTGAACACAGAGCCAGGAGTAAGCCCTGAGCAATGGTGGATATCACCCAAAAAAAACAAAAGAAGAAACACACCAAAGCGTGTGTCCCCACTTTGTTATCTCTCTGATCCATTTTATTATTTATTATTATTTGTTTAAATTTTATTGAATCATAGTGAGATAGTTACAAGCTTTCATGTTTGGGTTACAATCACACAATGATCAAACACCCGTCCCTCCACCAGTGCATATTCCCCACCACCAGTATCTCCAGTATAGCTCTCCACCTCCCCTCTCCCGACCTCCCCCTGCCTCCATGGCAGACAATATTCCCCATACTCTCTCTACTTTTGGGCATTATGGTTTGCAATAGACACTGAGAGGTCATCATTTTTAGTTTTGATCCATTTTTAATAATGTTGCTTAATATTAAATTATGTTCCATTTCCCCATTTCTGTTTTTTTTCTTCAACCTAAATTATTGCAGTTGCTAATTCACCTTCCTTTCTACTATTTTCCTTAGAATACACTTCATCTACCAACTCCAGTCAGTCTGCTGTGACCACAACTCCACTACACGCTCCTCTGTCCTCTGCACACCAGGTCATGTTTGGTTTAAACATACACTTGTATGACTATTATCCACTTCCATTGGTTTTCTTTGTTTGTTTGTTGTTTTTTTGTTTGGGTCACACCCAGTGATGCTCAGCGGTTACTCCTGGCTCTGCACTCAGGAATTACTCCTGGTGGTGCTCAGGGGACCATATGGGATGCTGGGAATTGAACCCAGGTCGGCCGCGTGTATCTGCTTGCAAGGCAAATGCCCTACCTGCTGTGCTATCGCTCCAGCCCCCAACTTCCATTGTTTTTAATTATGTCCCCTTCTAGATGAAAACAAGTAAGAGTTAAAACTAGGCCCTGTGTAATCTTAACTTTTCAATATAATATATGCATTGTCTTAAGCATTTGGACAACCTGGCAGGCTACCGAATGTAACCTGCCCACACGGCAGAGTCTGGCAAACTCCCCGTGGCGTACCCAATATGCCAAAAGCCAGTAACAATGATGGGTCTCATTCTCCTAACCCTGAAAGAACCTTGAATATAAAAGGTAAAAAGGTAAAGGCCCTCCCGTTGTTCGTCGATTTTGCTCGAGCGGGCCCAGTAACGTATCCATTGGAGACTTTGTTGTTACTGTGTCTGGCATATCGAATACGTCACGGGGGGCTTGCCAGGCTCTGCCATGCGGGTGAGATACTCTCGGTAGCTTGCTGGACTCTCCGAGAGGGGCGGAGGAATCGAACTCGGGTCGGCCATGTTGGCTGCGTGCAAGGCAAACGCCCTACCGCTGTGCTATCGCTCCAGCACTTTTTAAAATCTCAGGGCTAGGACGAAGGAGACGTTACTGGTGCCTGCTCGAGGCAATCGTCGAATAACAGGATGATTGTGATTGTGATTGTCTTAAGCAAGTATGCCTTTGTTTTTTGTTTTTCAGTCACACAGCAATGCTCAGATATGTTACTCCTGGTTCTGAACTTAGGAATCACTCCTGGCGAGCTCAGGCCACCAAACTGGATGCCAGGGAACGAACCCGGTCAGTCACGTGAAAGGCAAATGCCCTACCTTCTGTACCATCACTCTGACCCCTTTTTATTGATGGGAGGTGGTGGGGGTACACTCAGCAATGTTCAAGGGCTATTCCAGCCTCTGCACTCAGGAATCATTCTTGGTGGCGCTTGGGTACCACATGATGCCAGGGACTGACCTGGGTTGGCTGCATGCAAGCAAGTACCTGACTCGCAGTACTATCTCTCTGACCCCAACAAGTATGCCTTTGATGAGCATTAATAAAATGCTTTGAAGACAAGTGTGATCCAAGAAGAAGATAGATATGCCCTTCAGGAAGACAAATACGTTCATGGAAACATTTACCTTGGATGAAAACTCAAAATGTCCTAATAAACACTGTTATATCTAGACAAAGAAATGTGCCCTGAAAGCTAGAGCGATAGTACAGCAGGGAGGGTGTTTGCCTTGCATGTGGCCAACCTGGGTCCGATCCCTTGCATCCCATATGGTCCCCTGAGCACGTCCAGAAGTAATTCCTGAGTGCAGAGCCAGGAGTAACTCCTGAGCATCACCAGGTGTGACCCAAAAAAGAAAAAAAAATGTGTCCTGAAAGAAGTGTGTCGCAGAGATTGGATATGCTCCAAGAAGCATGCTTTTAACAACTATGGAACAGAAACACATACCCCAGGAAATGGATATGCCAGTTCTCAAGCAGGTATTTCAACAACCTCGCTAAAGTGTCATCGTAAATAAACAGGTGTCTTTATGAGGAGTTAAGTTCTTCTCTGGGTTGCCAAGGATTAAACCTGGGTTGGCTGTGTACAAGGCAAATGCTCTACCCACTGTACTCTCTCCAGGACCCTTGTTTTATTGTCTTTATGGTTTTGGGCCACACCTGGTGGTGCTCAGGGCTGGTCTCTGGCTCTGCACTCAGGGATCACTCCTGGCGGGTTTCAGAGGACCAAATGTAGTGCCAGGAATTGAATCCGGGCCAGTCACATGCAAGACAAGTGGCATACTCACTGTAATAATTCTCCAGCCCTTTGGGGTATTTTTTTTTTTTATGACGTGACAGTTTTGTCCCGGAGATAACTGAGAGTGATATTTCCTAGGGAGAATGGGGCCTCGCCAGGCAGAGAATATAGAAGTGTCCATACACAGAAGTGGCAAGTTGCAG